ATTGCCAACATCCATAAAGAGACGTGGGACAAATAGCGACTTGGTGGACATCAATCCCGCCTAAATGCCGTTAATCTAAGGGTCCCCCCCGAAATATTAATACCCAAATGGACCATAGACGACTGAAACACATGCCCTCCAGAAATTAATCTTCCAGGTACCTCCCCACGGGTGCCATGTTGGTTGGAGGAAGGGTAGATCTCTCCTCATCCGCAGGCGCTTTGGAGGACGAGTGGAGGTAAGTTTCGTCGCTGGCACGGGAGAGCGACACCAGGAGCACGAACCTCGGGACTGAGAACTGATGTCCCCAAAAAGTGGCAGAGACTCACTTCTGATCAAGTGGATTGGCCGCAGTTGAAACGCTTTGTTTTTGCGACTACAACGGTCCAAACCCCAGAGTATATAAGTCCAGCAGTCAGGCCTTTGCGGGAAACAAATGCGGACAACAAAAAATTGGATGGGCCTTTCAAGGCGCAGGACGCCTATCTGGAAACAATGTTTCAAGGTGAGCAGCGACCGGTTTTTTCAAGTGCTATAGCCCTCATAAGACCAAGTAGAACCACCTACTCAAATGGCCTATTGGACATCAACCCCCGCTAGGTGCAGGGTAGTAGGGGTGTTCCCTCCAAAAGTAACCTAAAAAGGGCAGACCTTTGAGGTTTGGTGATGCGGGATCACCTCACTGGGCGCTTAAGGACAAGGAAATGATAAGGTGATCACCTGTTGAGGCCAGAAAAAATAGACTTCAAGGAGAAACCACCAGGTCGATTTGCTTTGAAGCAGGGCTGTGAATGCCAACTTCTTCAATACAACAAAAAGGAGCTCCCAAAGATAAAGGGGGGATTCTGTTGTATCACAGAAGTGGGGATAAAACCCCGAGTGATCCCACAACCCTGCTTTGCTTGCCCCTTTAAGACCCAAAAATAACAGGTGATCATCTTTGGGGGCCAGTAAAAAATGGACTTCAAGAGGGAACCGCCAGGTCATTTCAGGTCGATTCGCTTTGAAATGAACACTAAGCCGGGTCATGAGACTGCAGCGCGTCTCTGAGGCCAACCTCCGACACCACCGCGATCTGGCTCTTCAGCGCCTGCCAATCCCCAGACTCCTCGGCCAACCGCTCGGACACTCCTTGGAGAGACTCAGAGACTCAGGCCGTTCGGCCCCAAGCGTCAAACGGTCCCTCCCAAAAGCCTCTCGAAAAATGAGAGGGCCATTCTGGTTGAACGAAGGGCCAGCCCCTCAACGGAGGGTGCAATGAGTAGGTGCTTGGGCTAGACCGGCTGTTTGCTTTCTTAGTGAACAGGGCCCCTAACCCAAAACTGACAATGTTACCCCCTTCCCGTGTTGTCCCCGAACCGACTGTAGACTACCAAAAAAGCCAGTCAGTGACTGTGAACATATGATTGCACGCCCCTTTCTGTGACAAGTTGTTCCCCATCCCCGTGTCTACCTTGTTGAGGCTTAAACCCAATGAATCCATTTCCCTGCATGGCAACCAAGAGAACCAGACAGATGACAAGAGAAGGAATAAGCCTGCGAGAAAATATGTGTGCGCGTGTGGTGGGAGAAAAGAAATGTGCAAAAAGCATGGCCCTGTGGGTGAATTGGCGTCTCCGGAGAGCTGAAAGCTAGCCTGTACGCCAGTCTCGGACCACGTTCGGACCACTCTCGGAGCGCGGGCCCATTGGCACGGCAACGCGAAGGTTTCGCAGGTTTTGAATTCGGCGCAGTACTTTCGCAAGGTCAGGTACAGATTTCGTGGCAGGCGCAGCACTTTCGAAAGGTCAAGTTTTCTTGAGGTTTCAATTGAACAACCCTGACAGCCCACCAGCCCAACAGCCCAACAACCCAACAGCCCAACAGCCCAGATGCTGTAATCCGGCCCCATGAGCACGATGCAGTACGGCACTGTCATGAGGCAGGTCCACATAGCCACCCTGCAGGCACTCATGACTCAATCAACTCACACAGACACACAGCACTTTACATCCATGTGTGATCAGCAGCAGGCTGGGATTCCTGCTAGAAGCCCTGTGGTGAGTTGATGCCCATGCAACGCCAAAGCAAATATCAAACTTCGCAGCGCAAAACCACGTGTCTTCCTATTCAAAAAAAGGCGCAAGGCGTGCGTGCGGACAGGCGGGGCATGCATGCATGGCACGTGAATGCAATGAGTGGAATGAGAGTGCATGATTCATGCATGACAAAGCATGAGTTGCATGAACTGCATGAATGCATGCATGAATGCATGACTGCGTGAGTGCAGGAACTGCACAAATGCATGCGCGCGCCTGCCTGAATGCAAAAATGATCTTTTGCCCCAAGGTACCATTCGATGTGGGCTCTGCCAGCTCCACAGAACAGCTCTACAAACTGCCACTCTGCGTCCTCGTCCCAGTTGAATTTGCAGTTCCATTGCATCAAGAGTGCCTCAAGCATGTGTGAGCATGGGCATACTCTTCGTGATCACAAGTCACATACAAAAGCTTGGGGCAGGACCACTGCAATCAAGACCTGCAAGGCATAACGGCATAACATTACAAAATGACGTTGCTGCGCGCGCGACACAACCCGGCAACACCCCACCTTGGGAGCGTGGCAACCAACTAGGCAGCGCAAGAGCGATCCGCACTCATGCACCACCATCGCAGGACCAGGACCAACACACAGTGTGCTGAGAGACAGACTTCGTAGAACCCCACACACCACTCCAACAATTGCATGCGTGAACATGTTCAAGAGTGAGCGCATATGTGAGGCCTTCTGTGAGGGCGCCGGCGCCCACAGCCCACACCCCACATCGCACCTGCGCACAAGCAAACCCACATGCAACGCACACCGTGAGTGCATGGACTCCAAACATGTACTGCGCTATCCGGCATGTGTTGTTGCGTATTGACGCACGTTGTTTTGATCCACATCGCCGCTTGGTTGAGCTATAACCTAGCGGCCATTCTTGCAGCGATCGTGCCATCAGGAAAACTTGGCAACAAACACGCGGCCCGAACCACACGTAATAGAGACATTGCAGCTCGCTGGCATGCGTTCAGAATCTGGTGCTTGAGCCCCATGTTGCATGGCCTGCGCAGGCAGGCAATATTTGAATGAATAGCGAACATGTCTGCGTGAGTGAACCACACTTGGCGGTCGAGGCATCTTTTGGGCCCCAACTTCGCCTGGTTTGCTGGCGTGGGGTTCTTTGCCTTGTGCGCTGGCTCCGGCTGGGATGGGATGATTCGGCTTGTGCGCCGGCCCGCTTGGGCGGGTTGCCCTCCTCCTTCGCCTTGTGCGCTGGCTTGGCTGGGCTGGGGTCCTTCGGCTTGTGTGCCGGCTTGCTTGGCTGGATTGGGGCGCTTCACCTTGTGCGCTCCTGCTTTGAAGCCAAGGCCCAGCGTTCGGCCATTACGGCCTTTCCAGTTGTTGGCCTTGCCGGCTGGCTCGGTTGCAGGGGCCTCGCAGAGCCGCCTTCGGGCCAGACGTGCTCCCAGCTATGGTTGGCCTCTGACTGGGCGGCGGCGCTATCGGCCTGTCGAACATGTGTGCACACACAAGCATGCAGAGGCATGGGTGACAGTCGATCAACAATATAACATGCATGGCACACGCACGCACCTTGCTTTCACTGGCACTTTGAAGAACGGCCGCTCACCTCTCCTCTTGGCCTTGCGCATGCGTGTTGTGCCTCGTGGTGTGCTTGCCATGCATGCCACGCACGCCGCGTGGATGCATGCATGCAGTGAACCATGAATGCCATGAGCATGAATCATGCGTGCCATGAATGCATGCCATGCATGAACCATGCATGCACGCATGCATGCATGCATGCCATGAATCATACATGCCATGAATCATATGCCCCCGTGAATCATGCATGCGTGAAGCATGCATGCATCATATCAATGAACCACGGTCTCGTGCCTCCCCAGGCAGGCACTGCGTCGACTGATCAACGCCATCCACCTGCATGGATGGCTGCCAGGTTTTGCATGCATGCATCAACATTAAATGCATGCATGATGGACTGTGCGTGATGTTACAACGCCAGGCGACCTGGGCGATCTTCTTGATACTTGAGTGGCCCACCTGCAGCAGCACATTTTGGGTTCATCACTGCACACGCGTGTTGCATGGCTGTAGCTAGAAGCCTGCAAGAGCTTCATGAGCTGCATCCAGGCTGATGGGTTCCTTGGCATCACACGCATGGATCATGCATGGTTCTTGCCGCTGGTTGCTGAATGCATGCATGCATGCGTGCACGCGTGCCCCATGCATTCATGATGTGACATGCGGGCCAGACAGCCTGCACATCCAGAAGCGGCGCGCTAGAGTCCTGCGACGACCATATCGGAATGGATCATGTGTGTGTGTGTGATGTGACATGGGCAGGAACGCAAGTCCTGCGACGACCCGATCGGACCGCTGCTTTGCGTGGCGATCGCAGATCTCCAGTTCCGCCTACGAGAATGTGAGACTTGACACACATGCGCAAAAGCATGAGGGCAGGACCTGCGCAAGCTTCGTAACAGCTTGCTCCCCGCCTGGTCGCTTGGTCGTTGCTTGAACTTTCGTTGCAATTTCCAGGTACAATGCAATCACCAAAGATATGGCTCGCTCTTGCAGCTGCGAATTGTTGCCTCCTTTCCCAGACAAAACTTTTGCAATGGCTGCCATTTCGGCCTGATGGTTGGCAAGCTCACTTGAGTATTCGTTTTCCGTGTCAGCATCGGTGAAGTCCTTTTCTTGCGTCTCCAAGTCCGAACCTCCGCTGGAGATCATAAGTGCAGCTGCTAAGGCTATAATGCGCATCTCTGTAATCCCCCACGCAGCTGAGCCAATTGCCGTACTCGCTGCAAATTTTACCATCACTCTGCCGTACATGAGAGCTCCGATGGCAGGGCTCACAGTCAGCTTGGCGTTGGTCAGCTCATTCATGTACGTCTTCAGCACTTCATGACCACCGGTCACTTGTCCAACGGTATCATCATCACTTTATCACTTTGCACGCTGCTCTGGGGGCTCTGTTTCAGCATCGGTTCCAGAGTTTCTGTGCCACCTCACTTTCCAGTCCCTGAAGCATTAGGTTTCGGCTCTGCTGCCAACCCAAGAACGTCCAATGCTGCGGAACCGCCTCCGGGATCAGCTCGGCGTCGCCGTCGTTTTGGTGGCATGCCGATCTGAGCTCTTGATGCACGGTCGAGAGTGCCAGTGCTGAGATGTGCTGAGGCTTGAACCAGAATGGCAACTTGAGCCAAAATGGTTACGGGGAAATACGGGGGAAATACACCAAAAGGGGAAATACAGGGGAGCCCTGGCCATTTTTTTCGGGGCGTGCCTGAGATCCACACTGGGCAACAAATCATGGACACTGAAAAGATTTGCTATGGACCGCTGTGAGGGGCGCGCTCGTTTGATAGCTCGGTTGAACCCCTTTGACGATAGCCAACCAAAACTAAGGTCAGCTTCCCTCCAATTAGTTTGGATTCATGGTTTGGTGGTTCGGGGTGGTTTCCCGTCTACGCTCTACAAGAACCAGAGGCTCAAATCCCCAAACCAGCAATCGCCCAACAACAAGTCAGCTTTGCGTTGGGACCGTTCACAACAAATCTTTACTCGAAGAGGGTTCTGACAAATCGTAAAGCCTATTTGGGTATGAGCCTATTTGGGGGACCTTTTGGACATCACGTACACCAATAATTAAAATTGTGCAACCAGCCATTTCTGAGGGTGTCTCCAATGAAATTCATAGTCATAGCCATGGTCCCAATAGACCAGTACCAAAAAGTGTCTCTATCAAGCCTTGAAACTTACAAAAGTGATTTCATTTGAAAGGGCCCCCAATTTCGTTTAATATAACAACCATTGTTTTCCCGTTCAGGATTATCATCATCTGATTCGGATCCCGAGGCCGTGCTTTTTATGAGGAGTGAACCCCAGGGTGAGCAAAACACACAAAAAGCAGCGCCAAGTCCAGCTCAGCCTCCTAGGAACTCCTGCAAATCAATGTCGCGCGCATCCGTGTGGTGCGTCGCAAGCAGCAAGGCCAAGGGGGAGACGTCGCAGCCCAGCGCTCGCTTTCCGGCCACCAGCGACTCCACCAGAACGGTGCCAGAGCCGCAGAACATATCCAGCACCTGGCACGTGGCTGTGGGTGAAAAATAGGCACCTGGACCCTCAAAATTCCCTTAAAAATGGGTTTGACCCCCAAAATTATGGGGTGATATCCCATTTTTATGGGTAGTTTGAGGGTCCAGGTACCCAAAATGGAACCCTGGTAAATGGAACCAAAGACTAACATCTGCGGTCCCTGCTGGCCTAAGTTTGACTCACACCCGCATATGTGCTGGTCTTTGCAACGTAATTTTCGGTTTGGGCTTCTTTTTGCGGGGACGTCCAAGTTAAAGGGGACATCTTGGTATTCGCTGGTCTTTGCAAGGTATCAATATTTGGGGCTGCTTGTGATTGTATTGTTGACGGGGACATCCAAGTTAAAGGGGACATCGAGGCAACACACCATCGCCACACCAATGAGACCTGCGTAAATTGATTGGGTTGCTTTGGCCTGTCTAGAGACTTGGGGCCTCGCCCTTTCGCCTCTTTTTTGTAGCCCTGGGGTTAAACGCCCTCATTGCTTGGGTATTGGGCTCCTAGGGTATCTGAAGAGGGCTCACACAACTTTGCCCCCCGCCCAAAAAAAAGAGAAAAGGGCAAGGACACTTAACCCCCTCAATATCAAAACATCCCCGCGTCGTTTTAGGGTACCCCACCCCCAAAAAAAATAATGTCCCAAATTTGTGTCAAAGGAAAGTTGCTGCAACCAGTTTCGTGGTGCTGGTCACCGCTCCTGGCGCGCGTCCGGCACCAGCTGCAGCAGCTCACGAGCGCAGAGGGCCTGCATACCGGCGATGTACTTGAAGAAGCCATGGGTCAGCTGATCTTCGCCTGCGTGACAGACAAATTCACTTTGTCCGGCCTAGAGTCTCCTTCTGACCCCCCACAAAAAAAGAGCAATTTTGGATCATGCTCTGCTCCCATTTTTTAAAGGGTGGGAAGGAGACTCCAGGGACATATACTGGATGGTTGAAATCCAAGAAAGGGTTGGCATGACACCAACTAAACAAAGGCCTTTGTAGTGTGGGGTAGGGGGTTACCGACCATATGGCTGTCCCCATTCGCTGCATTCCCCCTATCCCCCAATCCGGTTACGGGGGTAGGTAGGGAACCACGCTGTCAAGGCTGCAAGGAACATGACTGGTTACCCATAGTTGCATGGGATGCGCATTTGGACGGGGTAATGGAACTGCTAGTTTCAGTTTTATGTTTAATATATGTTTACTATGGACAATTTAAAGTCACTTTTAGATAATGAGCTTTAAACTGGTTTTCAGAACATATACGTATGTGTATATATATATAATATAAATTTGAAGTTTATATTTCTCACACTTGGAACGGCACGTACGCCCTTGTAGTTTTTTCTCCACTGCCGCCTGCTGGTAGGAAAGGATAGCCGCTGGCCCATTGAAACTCCAAGGCCCGCATGAGGCGCTCAGTCACCTGCGGGAGAAGCATGGGCCGCATGGGTGCGTCTTACCAAAAAGGCGCTGGGGCCCCAAAATGGATCTCCCCCCAACCCAACCCCCCCCCCAACCCAACCCCCCCCCAACCCAAACACCTAGAGGGTCCCTTGGTGCCTAAGGAGGTACTTAAACCCCTCTTTACCCCCCAAAAGCCATCCTCATGAGGTACTTGGACCCTCTGCGTGCAGTTTCCCTTCAAAGAAGAAAAAAAACAGCCTCAATTTCGACAGGCCCGTGTATATATATATATATATGCATATATATATATATATGTCTCTTCCCTCTCATTGGAAAATTTGGAGCCTGCCTGGTTTGGAGTTGTTTTACCCTCCACTGGAAGCCCAATGCCCAAACCAATCCAAACCAACAAAGGGTTAGATGAATACGGGGGTGTGTCATCTTGTGGAGGTGGTATCCTGTTTTCTCTGGTTTTAAAGACAAACCACAATGGAACCGGAAACCCACCAGTTTGTTTGGGGCTTGGGGGGCCACCTCGCCCTTCTGCTTACCCCGCTAAGTGGTTCATGATATGTGTCTGAAATCCAGGATCCCGAAAATGGGATTGCTTTTGGTATCCCTGAAGGTGAAAAGGGTAGCCTCAAACACACAAACCAAGTCTGTGCAGGAATTTTGAGCTGCAAATTCTGCTTCTGCCCTAATGTAGGAGACCCCAGCCAGGGGACGAGGGAACCCCGTTCTTGGTACGGAAGGGGACGCCATAGGGGTTGCGTTAGTTGCAGGATGATATGCAACAATCAACACCAAAGAACCACGAACACCCGAGCAAGGCAAACACGACATGTTGGTACTTGCTAAAAAAGAAAGCCCCATCCAAAAGGACACTGGACACTGGAAGCTTTGAAGAATCATTGCGGTTCAAGGGTGTGGTGTTTGGTGCATGTTCTTTACCTTTAACCCTGCACTCCCCCGACTCAAACATCCGCAGCAACATTGGTGTCACACACCCTCCAAATACCCGCTTTGTTTAGGGAACCATGTCAACCCTGTACTAAATAAGCAGGTATTTACGATGTAAACAAAGCGGGGATTTGGAGTCGGGGTAAGTTTAACGGAAGCAAAGTTCTTTCCAGGTGTTTGGGGCGATTCGGTCACAAGACCGGCCGTGTTGTGTCAACTGTGCATGGTTGATTGGCCTACAACATGACGTCGATTGAAAGCTTGTACATGCTACCCAGTGCTAACGCTTTCGAAGCATTGCCTATTGCACGTAACTTGCCTGGGATCCACTCATAACATCTTTGGCGATTGCAACCTTGCGAGCCCTGGATCAAGCTCCAAACACACAACAAAGCCGCAAAACCAAGGTATGGAGACACAAGCAAGAGCCTTTCTTTAGCAGAGAACCCACCACCAAGTGAGACATATGCTGAAAGCCACACCTTGCAGCTGGGTTTGCGGCTGAGACTCACTGAAGGGGCACCGAATGATTGGTTTCTCAGCGTAAAATTCCAGTTGCACCTGTAGGGAACCACCTAGAGTCTCCTTCTGACCCCTAAGAGGCGTCACAACCCAAATTTACAAAGGCCATCCATGTTTTAAATAGGACACCTATACCTGTAGTCTCCTTCAGACCCTTAAAAAATGGCGTCATAACCCCTTCACGTTGGGTAATGACCAACCATGTTCAAAGAGTTGGAAGGAGGCTCCAGGCATCCATTGTCCTTTTCGTGTTCAAAGACTCTCGTGCGTAAATGGAATCCCTGCTTGCCCTGGAACCCGCGGAACTCTCGTAAAATTCCGGAACAGGGACATGGGTGCGTCGTTTTTAAGGGACCCTCTTCCTCTTGGCTTCCCTTTAAAACCACCAAACACAGGGTACCATCCAAAAAAGACACCCATGGTGTGTTAAGTTTCAGTTGTGCTTTGTTTTGTGCTCATTTGAGTCCAAGACCTTTGTTTAAGGCCTTTGGATGTAGGCCCTCTTCTTTCAGGGTCCACGGGGCTCCTAGCGTCCTGGGGTCATTATGTTGATGTGCGGAAAAATCAATATTCGTTCTTGAAGGAAAACCACGCTAAAAATGGCGTGTCGGCCGATTTTCCATAGTCCCTATTCGAAAACCACAAAGGGGGGCTAGTCCTGTTAAGGCAAAGATCAAGGATTGAAAGGGACACAGCCCAGAAACCAGCTAGGTCTTCCAGTAGAGAGGTTAGAAGAAGGGTACCAACTCTTTCTCTAGTCTATTTTAGTAGGGGAAGCCTCCCAACCAACAAGAAACAGTAAAAGAAACAGCACCTAGCTGGAAGACCTAAAGGGGGTGATTCCTGCCCCGTTCAATCGGTCTGTTCAGAAACCAGTACCCCTGGAAGGAAGTTCCCCCTAAGCGAGCACAACCCACCATGTATCTGTCTGTTGTTTTACATTGTTTTACGATGAGGATCTGCCAGCTCGAAGAACACTTCGCTTCTCGGCCTCTTCCGGCCCATCGCTGCTCAAGCTGTAGAGCCTCCGCTGCTGCAGGTTGGCCCTCTGCTGGACCATCTCAGGGATACATTCGATGGATTTGGAGGCAAAACGGAGCACCTGGCTCTTGCTAGGAGACTGAGGGGACCTCCGTAATGAGAAAAAAAAAGCAGAAAGAGGCGCCCTTCTATTGGTGCCTGACTTTTGCAAGGAAATCCTCTCCCAAAGTGAATCTTGAACGGAAGCTCCAAAAGAAGAGGAAAAGTTCAAGCAACCCGCTGTGCGTCTGGGTTTCCATTTAGCACAGGCCGTCTGAAACATGGACCTTTTCCGGACCAAATGGACGCCATTTCAATTTGTGGGGGGGGGGGGGGAGGGAGGGAATAGTGCCCCCGCCACATACCTGCTTTTCTCACTTTCCCCATAGTGACCTGAAAATTAATGGTGATCACATTTTGAAACCTTGACTATGGACCAAATCAGGGAAACTACTGTAAAAGGTTAAAAGATCGAATCGCTTTGGGCAAGTGAGTTTTTGTAGTTGGTACATATGGCCATGGGTCAAAATCCCGTACCCCCAGTAAACCTGCCAATCCCCACTAAAATAGACTAACATGGGTGGTGCACCTACCCTGGTACCATTGCCTTTAACCCACGGCCATATGAAACAGCCGTTTTTTTTTCCATGGTGATTACCTCTTTTTCTTGGTCGGAGGTTGACATCATACGCTTCAAGCAGGGGGTCTCCCTTGTGTGCGGGCCTTCTTAGCCATGGGCATGGAGCGGATTGCCGAAACATGGCTTCAACATGGCTTTTTAGGCGGAACATGATTGAGAGGACACCCCCATTCACCCCTACTCCAAATGCCCTCTGGATTTAGTTGGATTTGTTTGAAACCCCAACGGCCGTGGAAAATACTAAATGCCAATCCTTTGGTAAAGGGTTGACACAAACCTAGATACTACTCCCTTTTTGGTAAATGGCTCACTCAAAAATACCAAACGGTTCACTCGAAAATACAAATCCCTTTTCTGGTAAAGGGCTGACTCAACAAAAAAAAATGGTTTTTGGAGGCTTCGGGGGTCCAAGTTGGAGCAAGAGCCTGCAGTTTCGGCCAGAGGCTCAGCACGTGCTCCCACTGCCCCGCGCGCTCGCACACCTCGTGTCCAGTGGACCCGGACTATAAGGGTTGAACTCCAACAGGCCGCAAGCTGCGAGGTCTTGGGGTCACAAACGCCATGCCGCACTCCAATTTTGTTTTCTAGAAGTTGAGGGCGTGGGGTGTTTTCTTCTGTTGCTTGTCTCTATGGGACATTTTGTACTCCCATGTGGCCTGCGAGATGCAGATTAAAGCCAGCAAACAAGGGAAATATCAGAACCGTCAGTGCTTCACAGGCCAGATCTGGCTTTCAGAAGGTTGGAGCCATGGAAAAGAAGCTACAGCGCCAAGAATCACTCACGCAGGCACTGCACGCGTGGACATCCAGCTGATACTTGCTTGCAGCTTTGAGTGACAGGAAGTGTAGGGCGTATTGCCATTCTCCTGCTCTGGAGAAGGACCCGATCAAGGCGTTGTAGCTAAAATCGTCCAAGCGCATTCCCCTGGATTCAGGGTTGAGCGAGTCAACCCCCTGTTTGAACACTAGTCTAAGCACCTTTGTTTTAGCCACCTCTTTTTGATCTTTTTTTTTAAACGAATACCCTGTCTTTATTCAACCCTTTTTTAAAACCGGATGTATTGACCATGGAAAACCAGGTTTTTCAAACAATACCAACTAAGAAAAACATGTTTTGAGGGTAGAATGGCTGTCTATTGAGGAAAGCATCACCAAACGTTCAAGGAGCTCGTACCAACTCCAGATTTGACCGCTTCCTCCAATATTTTGCGGACAGATAGTAAGGTGAAATCATCCGTGGTGCCATTTGCAAGAGTCGCGTTTCCGGGTATGTAATTGCACCCTAGTTTTTCTTCATGAACAGTGTCTCCGGAAGGACATGTGGAGAAAAACCACCGAGGTTTTCCCAACTTGCCCACTTTCCGCCTGGATTGAATGTCATGAAAGAGGGCCAAGGATTTCTCCCACTGCTGCCCTTCCTCGCAGGAACCAATGGCGGCGCTGAAGGAGATGATGTCAGGCGCCAGCTCTGCGGCAGGCATTGCATGCCTCATGCCGCTGCTACCATCTCAAAACCATATTCAAACCATTAGTCCAGGGGTACCTTCCATGTCCATTCTTTCCAGGGATCCGAATCTTTCTAGAAAACCTCCGGAAACCGAGGGAAAACGGATCCGGTTTTTGGAAGAACGATGGTTGAAACAAATGGGGAATCAACCCCTAGAATTTGGCAATCCGCTCCTGGTGCACCTACGAAAGGGGGCCCCCGAAAAAAAAGAAAAGTGCCCCTAGTGATAGGTTCCCGTTAAAAACCAACCAAGGGAACATAACAACATATTCATTTCAGCACATGGAAGCTCGTAGCTTCATGAGCATAGGTGCCCTTTGAGGGAAAATAGATGATTAAACCACCAGGTAAACCAGGGCCATCATTTGTTTTACCAAAACCACCAAGAAGGACACCTATGTTCATGAGGCTCAAACAAATTTCCGAGCTGCAGCAGGTGCAACGCCATGGGCCACTGGGCCGAGGAAGCACAGGCGCTGATGCAGGCGTTGCAGGCCACGGTGTCTGGGGAGATCTGCTCTTCGCGCATGGAGCCGAGGAGCTGCAGCGACAGCTCCCACCTGAAAAGCCGATTGGCTGTGGGTGAAAGATAGGTATTCGAAATGGAACCTCGGTTGCGAACTCTGCGAAGCCCTGCTAAAAGTTTAACTTTTAGTGGTTTAATGGAAAAGCCATCAGTTGGCAAAAAGTTACAGTCCTAACATCCAAGCAAAATGCGCCAAAGGAACCCTGGTAAATGGAACCAAGGACCAAAACCTGCGATCCCCTCCTGGTTTAACTTTGACCCAGACCCAATGGCTGGTGCTCAGGGAATGAGACGCCTCCTGGTTCATGCTTTCTACACTCGACACCAAAACAATACCTCCTTTCTTACGGTATGATGTCAAGCCCGGACAAACAATTCGAGGCATGTGCAATCTACCATAGAAAAACAACAGGCGTTTCTTCAAAAAACACGACGAGTATTTGAACTTTTTCTGGGGGGTGTCTCTATGGGAGGGCTTCATTCAAGTCCCGCCTCTCGCCCAGCGCGCTAATGCCGGCGCTCATCGCGATCCTTACAATGGAGATACTCGACGAACCGAACGAGCAGAAGATCCTTAGCACCCACCTGGAATCTCCTTCCGACCCTTAAAAAAATGGGGTCAGTACGGTCAGTACCCCAAATTCAGGGGTGACCCCGTTTCCAGGGGTCAGGAAACTCTAGGCGCTGCTTTTTGGGATTTTGGACATGGGAGAAAGCAGTTGGGGGGTGCTGGGACCTTTTGGTATAGTGGAAGAGCCATTTCTTTCCAACAGGTTTCAGGTGCGATGCGGTCACACCAAAGACCAGCTGTGCTTTGGGGACCTTGATGCAAAATAGCCCAATGCTGGCAAATCCCAAACAACAAAGCAAACCCGGAACACATGTGAAAACTGGAAACTGCGGCAAGCTGCAACCCTCAAACACTGGAGACCCTAAAACTCCGAGCTGCACAACCACAAAGGTACAACTGAAACTGATTTCGAACTCAAAGGATCTGATTCTTGAGCCAACTGGTTTGGTGTTCCGCCATTGCACAGCATCCGATTGAACACCAAACAGCAACTGAGTTTTGGTTTTCAAGCCACAGCCTGAGAATTCTTCCCCGGTGACTTCGCGTGGTTTCACGACAGGCGAGGCACGGGCTCCGCGGCACTCCTCGTTGAGGCATCTCCTCCAACATCTCGAGGCAGAGCAGCCATTGGTCGGCCTTCACGGATAAAAACACACTGGAATGGTCGGCCAGGGTGAGTGCTTTGGGGGCACTGCTGCGGGTGGTTTCGAAGAAAAATGTTAAAAGGCATCTAGGGGTTGATTCCATTTCCATTCTTTTCAAGCATGGTTCTTTTCTCAAAAACCGGATCCGTTTTCCCCAGACAATTTCTGGAGGTTCTCTAGAAAGAAGGCAAAAACCGGATCCGTGTTCCTTGGGTTTGTTGGTTTTGTGTAAAAAGATTCGGATTCCTGGGCTCAGAATGGAATTGGAAGGTACCCCCAGAACTGGGCGCGGCGCCCTCCCGCGAGCAACAGGACTCCCGTCGGATTCCCGTCGGAGATACCTTTTCAAGTTCCTGCAGCTTCAAACGACTAGAAAGAAGTAGGTGTTTTGGTCATTGTATTGCTTTTGCCTGTTTCGTACCGTTTTTACCGCAAAACGACTAAGACGCCTAGAAATTTGAATTATTGGGTGTTTCCTTCTTGCACAGGGCTTTCTCTCTCATTCAGCTTGATATTGCCCACTACACCAGATGTTCGAATCTTCGGAAACTTCTAAACACTTCGAATCCTTCCCTCCATCAACACCCTTCAATCCTAGCTGTGCGGGGCAGTGGTGCGCAAATCGGAGCAAGTTTAGTCTAAACATGCTTCGAGTGAGAAACGCACTTTGTTCGTACCACTTTTGGCCGCAAAACGAGCGCAAAAACCCGCAAAACGCCCGCAAAAACCCGCAAACGAGCGCAAATCCCAAAAAGTGGGTCAATTGGGGTTGTTTCATGCACTGCCCGCTCAAAAGCATGCCCTGATTGGGCACCGATGTAGGGTCATGCTTGCAACCGGAAATGCAAGCACCGAGAAAGGAAACTATATTGATATGAGGTCAGATCTTGTTGGCTCAACTATCCTCCCAAACGGCCAGCAGCACGGTAGACGCCGGCCTTCGTACTAGTTTTCCAGCGGTTCGTACTAGAACCCCCAGTTTTCCTCCAATCGTACCCATTACCCAAAACGCCCAGAAATTTATGGGTGTTTGAATCTCCAGGTTGGCCTTTTTTCTTGAGGAAAGGACCAAAGGACACCCAAAGAACTCCCAAAAAAAAAACACAATTTTTCCTGCCTGTGTACCACTTGCTCATGGGTGAAAGGCAGAAGAAGGGGGTGCATTTGGCGCTGGGGGTCCAGGTTGTTCTAGCTGTACCGTCCCTGTTCTCGAGGATGCTTCTCAAAAGCTGGGGCAAACCTCGAAAAGGAAAATGGGTGGCTTGTGAAGAGAACGATGGGTGAAGCGTAGGTCGTTTTGGCTTTTCATTAAACGGGCGGCTTCCTTCTCATCTAGGTCCTCCAGTAGAGAGGTTAGAACAAGGCTACCTGAACCCTCAAATTTCCCCTTAAAAATGGGTTTGACCCCCAAAATTATGGGGTGATATCCCATTTTTATGGGTAGTTTGAGGGTCCAGGTACCCTTTTTCTGCGGACTATTCTAGACTCGGGGAACCCTCCCCCAAAAACGGGGTGAGAAAGGGCAGCTAGCTGGGGGACCTAGTCATTGTCGAGCCACACCAAAGGGCACCAAAGCACCAGGATCTGAGGGCTCCCTTTGCTTCCCTTACAGCGTCACCTTACCTGCAAGTGGCAACCAAAAGGTCCTACAAATTAACATGGAACCTGAAAAGGGGGGTCCCCCAAAAGGAGGTTCCTCCAGGGCTCCAATGAATTTTGGAGAGTAAACGACTCAAGGGGAAATATAGGGAGCCTCAGTGCAAGCAGGCGTTCTCGGAGAGCCCTAAACCCTGAAGGTCCAGGCATATGTTCCAAGACAACTACTGCTATTGCACTTGGCTTCAACAAACTTGAAATCCCTTTTGCACCATTGTTGGTTGGAATTTCTAGGGGAATCATCATTCCAGGTTTCTTCGGTGGTGCAGGATTTGGTCCATCCACGGTAGGAAAGGGAACATCCAGTAGTGATAGATTCCCTCAAAACCAACAGGGGAAAATAACAAAATTTTTGTTTCGGCAAATGGAAGAATACCCCCCTTGGGGAAGAAATTGCGCCTTGAACTTGGAGGTCACTCCGTATGGCATTGTTTTAGCTTGGTAAACCTTGCTTGAAAGGTTCGTGGTCCTGAACTCTCTCCGGAGTCACGTAGGATATGTCTTTGGGCATGCGCATGCTATGAATGACATGTGGGCGTCGCTCATCAAATCAAACACCAACAAAAGCTGTGCAAGCACAAGTTTTTCTCATGTGACCCGCCGTATATCGTCAGTGTGTCCCAAACTGACACTGACCTTCGGGTGAGAAACCTCCGAACATGATGTCCAATTTGGCGTGGGTGTTGGGGTGTTCGGCCAAGTTAGTAAGATGTCCCTGCAGTGGACTAACCCGGTTGTTAGTGGGTGAAACAACCCGAGTAGCTAACCACTTGCTAACTTGGCCAAACATTCAATTGCCCAATGTCCGTCGATGACGGCAAATATTGACCGCTGCTCATGTGAGTTAAGGACAGCTAGCAGCTAGCATGTTGGCCATGCCTGAGATGTGCCTCCACCCGTTCAATTGATCAATGCCATGCACCGTATTTCTAAAGATGATCCTAAAGCTGAAATAAGCTGGCTCCCCTGACCTTCACTGGCGAGTTGCTGTTTCATCCCATCCGTCGCATTCCTCCAAAGGGCCCCTAAACCGCCACACTTGCCTGCCATCCCCGCGTAACATGACTGGCGTCCCTTCAAGAGGAAATTGATCTCCCACAGGTGCTGTGTTAGTGGGTGGAAGTGCACCAGGAATTGAAATAAACGTCGATGAACCATCACCCCCAAAACCCAACTGTCAGATTCGCACCCTAGTGGCGCAACATGGCGAGCATTTCAGGGTTGTCTTCGCCATGTTTTGAAAGCGCGCAGCGCGACATGTTTTTTGTGTTTTTTTTTTTTTTCTGTAAGAGGAATTCTACAGGGTAAAGTTAGATGGCAGAGTTGCCTTTCTCGGTAAGGATGAGATCAAGGGGGAACTATGCCATCTACTTGTCCAACTGCCCTAAGCTGGAGCTTCATTGGTAAGTTATGGACCTCAAAAAGGTCCGTTTTGAGGTTCTGGACCTCAAAAAGGTCCGTTTTGAGTACTTCTCCAACTGACTGGGCTGTCCTCAGATCCCCCTGCTCAAAGTTTAACTAGTGGGTTGAATGGAAACCCAACCACTAAACCAACCAAGAGAACTAACAACCTAAGGAACCGGCCGGCTGGGAAACGTCAAGTACACTTGCAACAAAGTCAACGCCTGGGTGGGAGTGAGAAAAAACAAGTATTGGTTCAAGCCCCCCGCAGTTATGGTCACAGTTTTGGTTAGACCCAAAACGTTGGGTTCCCCGTATGGAGTGAGAACAGGTGGTCTGACCTCGGCGTTTCTTTCTCCGCCTTGAGCGCACTGATGCATGCGCCGTAGGTCACCGTGTTGGCCTAGCAGGGCAGGCTCCAAAGACCCGTTAAAGGGTACACCCGGGTGAAAACAATTCCCAAACAATCCATGTAGGTAATCATATATATATATATACCTACACTTGACCTATGAGGGTAAATGTGGTAAATACCGCATACAGTCGGATTGTTTGGGGATGCGTTTTTTTTTTCAACGCGCACTCAAAACTTGTGCTATTTTTCCTGTTGGTTTCCGCCAAAAAAGACTCATCTCCAAAATTTATCTCCAAAAGAGCCTGGCCACAATTCCCGAGTGGGAGGGCAAAGGGGACAAATTACCCAAAATTGATCCCTGGGAAGGGAGAAAGAACATATCGGGGCTGATCCATATTCCTGGCCCCCGAACGCCGCCTTCCCGCCCTGACTGATCTTCGAACCAGTGAGCAAATTGCTCCAAAGAGGAACACACCAAGTTACAATTTGAATTAACCCTTGAATCGGCATGTTTTTATATCTATAGGCCCCAAGCGCCCATTGCATCTTAAGACTTGACTCTTGGAAATCCTACAGCCATAGGTAACTTTGCCCATGTGGTGAAAATCGTGTCTTCTCTGGTGGTTTCCTAATGGCCACCCCATGTATCACGGACCTTTTGATCAACCCCCATGTGGGTAATATCCAAAAACACCAGCGGGTACACTTCCTCCCACTAACATAGCATCTAGGTCCTCCAGTAGAGAGGTTAGAATGAGGGTACCCTTTTTTCTGTAGTGTATTTTAGTAGGGGAAAAGGGCACTACTGGGGGACCTAGGCATTTGTGGGAGGCTACCTTAAAGCCCTGTTTCCTCTTGAGGGACTTTCTGTGAGGTGCCCATAGGTGTCCTTTTTGGGAAATAGATGGGTTTCCCTGGTAGTTGATTGAACCACCAGGTAAACCAGGAATCGCCCTCTATTTTTCTACACCAAATCAACCAAAAAGCTGCAGGGTTTGCCTTTTTGAAACAAAATGAACACCCTCCCTTGAAAAGGGTTTCTACACTACCAGGGGGGCTTGCTTATTTATCCCATAAACAGTGGAAAAGGCAAACCATGGTGAGGTGCCATGTTCGGCTGCCAGACTCCCCCAAGCTCAAGTCCTCTTCCCGCCTGCACGGCTTGGGTCTCCATGCCCCTGAACAGCGCCAGCGCCTCCAAGAAACCGACGCTTGGGCCGAAGACGATCACGCACGCAAGCACGCAAAAAAAGAAGAAGCCTGTGGCCTGAAAACCGCCTGGAATACCACTATACCGCCTGAAAGCCGCTTTGGCCAAGCATTGGCAGGTAAGCAACGTTCCACTTGGGAGCGTCTTTTTTTGGGCGACCCCCCCTCCACATCAAACAGCAAACAAGTTGGGAGCGTTTTTTTTTAGGGGACCCGCTCAATAGAAAAGCAAAGAACGTGGGAGCGTCTTTTTTGAGAGACCCGCTGAAATGAAAACGCAAACAATTTGGGAGTGTCTGGACCCCCTCAAAAAACAAGCAAACAATTTGGGAATGTCTGTTTTAGACGACCCCCCCAAAGAAAAGCAAACAATCTTTAGGGGATCCCCTCAAAAAAAGCAAACAAGTTGGGAGTGTCTTTTTTAGGGGACCCCCTCCATGAAAAAGCAAACAATTTGGAAGTGTCTGTTTTAGGGACCTCCCATATAAAAAAAAGAACAGATACTGGTATTAGTCTATCGTTGGATTGAAATTCACGGAAGGGCGACAAGAACTGCCGCCAGCCCAAGTGCCGCCACTGGATTGTCCCAAGAAGCTGGATGAATTTGAGGAGATTCGAAGAGGGAAGTGAGGGGTCAAAAAGCTTGATTGACGTTGGAAGGAGAGCAACAATTCTCAAATTTCAGCAGTTAAGTGGTTGGATTTCAACCACTGAACCACAATGAGCAAAAATGAAAAATGTTTCCTAACAACAACCATGAAAGGGTCTTTGTTTGGACACTGCATCTGCTTAACACTCTGGGCAATGTCCACTTCGGGTTTCCCCGCATTCCGTTGACGGTTTTGAGGGTCTATGTTCATGTGCAGTGGATAGAACAGGACTCCCTATATAGCCCCTTTAAACATCACCCATGCAAATGACACTCACCCGAAAAGGCCCGGTGATGTTTTGTTTAAGCCACTAGTTCTTTTGACGGGGCGCAAAATTGGAAGGCACCGTTTTGGATGGCGGGCAACCATGGTAGTGGGAAGGATTTTCGCAAGATTTGGGTGTCTTTTTTGAAGGTATCGCATTGTTTGTGCTTCTAATTACAGGAAAACCAAAGGACACCTCACATTTGCTTGGGGGGTCCCTAATAAGACACCCCCAGTTCCCTTGATGTGCGGCAAAAAGCCGATTTTCGCGGCCCCGCCTGGCGCCATTTCCTCGCTTTGCCACACGCACTGATCGCCTGGAGCTTTCGTTTCGCCAATGGCACAGTGCAAAGGCGTGGAGGAAGTTTTGGAAGGTGCAGACCTGACTTTGTAGGTCTCCTTTTGGGTCAAAATCCATGAATGGGTTTAGGGTTTAGGGTTTAAGGGCTCCACTGTGGATGGTTGCGAAATCCATCCATCGCACCGTTCAGAAACCCAGAGGGTCCCTTGGAACCTCATGAGGATGGCTCTTGCGGGTAAAAAGGCGTCTAAGTACCTCCTTGGAAGGTACTTGGACCCTCTGAGGTTCAGAAACCCTATGATGATTCCCGCGATACCAACAAACATGCGGAAAGTTGCAGGGGAGTAAACACCGTTGCGAATTCATTTCGCACCACCTAAGAAGGATTGAAAACCTTAATTTTGGGTAACAGCTTGTTTGAAGGGTCAGAAGGAGAATCCAGGTGTGATTTCTTTTGCTGGATGAAAGAGAAAAATCCATGTCACACCACCTCAGGAACCACACGGAATGATTCGGTTCCCCTGTAAATACCAACAAACGTTCTGGTTTCCGCCATGATTTCGTTCCGTGGTGAGAAATGTATTTCACAACAATCCATATGACCCCATTTCCGGTGGAGACTCTAGGCAAGTCTGGCTCGACTGGGCATTTTGCCAAATGTTCAACTGCCTAGATAGCCAAGTTGCCTGTCACTGTTGCTGGTTTTTGGGGTAAAGTGGATGGAACAAAGCGATTCGCAACTGGATCCATCTAGGTGTGCTCCATTTCCACAGCGTGAACAAAAGTAGCAACATGCCCTGGCGGGGAGGGAAAGGGGGTGACAAAACTAGGATCCGATAAAATTGTGCTACGTTCACCCAACTTGAGAGAAAGCTTGGTTGCTGGTGACCCCTCTGCAAAAGGCGTTCAACTTTCTGTGGGTCCAAGATGAAAACTCCGAGCTTGGGTGGTTCCCCCAATGTCCTTTAGTCAATCACAGGCTGACCTGCAGTATCTCCAGGGCTCTAGCGTTATTCTTTTCAGAAACTGGCCATAAGGAATCTGAGTAACTGGTCAAAACTTCAACCTACCAACAGGGATCCTTACATTATACACCTGAACATTGCAACTTGTAAATGGTGGTTTCCCTTTATTTCGGTGTTGAAAAAGCCATGTTTCAAATGGTTGCAAAATGTATCTTTTAAGGAGCCCTGTGCCAACCGGCAAAAGGAAACCAAAACGGAAAGAAAATGGAACTGGAGGAAAACTTGCTGGTTCTCAGCAAGGTCCATGATGGAACGACCCCCCCCAAAAAAACAATTACGCGGCTTCCTTTATTCGGGTATCCCCAACACCCGGTCTCGGGGATTCCCTACCTATCGCACCAGCAATAAAACCACAAGGCCAAAGAAAACTGGGATCCGGATGCATTATACACCTGAACATTGCAACTTGTAAATGGTGGTTTCCCTCTATTTTGGTGCTGAAAAAGCCACATGTTTCAACTGGTGGCAAAATGATTTTCTTTTAATTTAAGGAGCCCTGGAAAAACACAAGGCCCTGGTCCAATCCAAAAGCAGCAAATCCCAAAGCAAAGGGCTGAGAAATCATCGTAAGCGTGCTTTCCCGTTTTCCCCACTCGGTGAGTTCGAAATCCCCGGTAAAACTGACGCAGATCCATACCCCCTCCAAATACCCTCTTGGTTTTGGCGTTGTTTGAAAATCCTGACTTGCCATGGTAAATACCTCCTTGTTTAGTAGAGGGTTGACATGACACAAACCAAAAACGCGTTGGTTTTTGGAGGGGGTAGCCATATTGGCAAATAATCTTCCCCACGGAAGGGGAAACTGACATTCAGGACTTTTGTATATAAGCTGCCTGGAGTCTCCATGACCCTTGCAAAAATGGGGTCATCTAATGGGTCATGGAGACCCATTGTATATGATTTGGGGGGTCAGACCCTCCCCCGCTTCCATTTGCTTCAATTTGCTGAAGTCCCCTGAGAAAAAACAAAAACAAAAAAACACAAATGCTGCAGAGATGGATTCAAACGTAAGGGGACAATAATTAATATTCTTCAGGAAATGGAAGTGTGTAAGCGGGCGGCGATAGCAATGCTTCGACTAATTGCCCTAGGGGTCCAGATAATATTGACTATCAGTCTTCTGGCGGGGAGGCAGGGGGTCGTATTTATTATTAGGGGACAAGCGATTCTTCTCCATAAACAAATAAGCGGTTTAACATGGCTGTGGGTCAAAAATAGGTGCCCAAATTGAAACCCTGGTAAATGGAACCAAGGACTAAAACCTGCCCTCCAATCCCTGGTGGTTTCATTTTGATCCATACCCACGTAGCAAAATGCAGCCGAGCCAAGTAGCGATGGTAAAGTGAAACCCGTTCACCTCGCAGTCCGGGTCTTCTTGCAGCAGCTTCAGCAGCGACAAAACGTACCGGAGCTTCCTCGAGTGCGTCGTTTTGGGTTGAGCCGCGCTAAGAAACAACACGTGTACTTAACGGGGCAGTGTATTGGGTGGAACATGGTTTGCGTTGCTTCGAGTTTGGTTCCAATAATTTGCTAAGGCCATCCATGTTTTAAGTAGGACGCCTATATCTGGAGTCTCCGGCTGACCCTCAACACATGGGGTCATAACCCCTTAATTTTGGGTACTGACCCCATTTTTAAAGGGTCAAAAGGAGCGTATTTAACAGGGCAGCGTATTTAGTATCCTCCCTCCCACTAACATGGCCACTGACACAGGGTAGCCCCAAGAGGAAAACCCATCTTCGAGGTACCCTCCCACAGGTGCTCTGTTTGTTGGAGGGCGGGTAAGCGGTTAGTAAGCCTAGTTCCTCACTTCCTGAGTGGATGGCCCGAAACAAGTCCAAACTGTTTGTTTGCCACTATGGTCTTCCCAACCAATGAAACCAAGAATTGAGGTTACCACTTAGGAGACTTGTAACCATGGTGAGTGAAATTATTACACGTACCAAGTACCCTGCCCCTTGACGTGGCTCTCAAACACAAATGCCATGAATCCCTGCCTGTCTTTCAAGGGCCTCTGTTGTTTGGGACCCCCCACAGGAAAAATAAGTAAGTCTGGATCTGGACAAACCTGCCGAATGATTTTTTCCCCTTCTGGAGTGCTGTGGAAAATAAGCATTGGCTGGCTGAATATCAGCGGTGACAACAAAAGATGACAACTCCGTTTCGGGGATCCTCTCAGTACGGTCCACAAGTTTCCGAACAAAACAGCTCTGAGAAAACCTCACAGTTGTAGCTGCGCCTATAACAACAAATCTGGGCAAAACTCACATTTCTTCAGCTGCCTCTTGTTTCGACTCAATCCAATTTAGCGCCCTTTTCGTACCTCCGAGCTCGGGTCAGCCACGGTCTCCAATAAAAAACCAAGGTGTCCCAGGTCCGGTCAGACCCGGTCTCAAGCCCCAGCTAGCTCCCCAGTAGAGAGGTTAGAATAAGGGTACCCGATTTTTTTGTAGTCTATTTCAGTAGGGGAACCCTCCCCAAAAAAAGGGGCAAATGGGCACTACTCAAGGACCTAGGCCCGGTGTTTCGTCCGGTCAGACCTGGTCTCAAAGCCCAGAAATCCAGGGCGCTTCCTGCGCGCCAGGTGCTTCAATAGCGCGCTGCCAGCCCTGGGGTTTTTGAGATCCTCCCAGAACGGCTCCAGCGCCGCCTGGAGCTTCGCCTGCGAAGTGCCAGTCCTGCGCCGAGAGAAGGGGAAACATGGATGGCTGTAGGGCCTCCATGACGTGGGGGGGGGGGGGGGCTGCTTAACACACCCAAAATGGGGGAGGGGGGGGGGAGGGAAATGGATGAGACACCCCCAAAAAGGCAGAAAAAAGGGTCCGTGGAGGGTCCAGTCTTCATGACACCCCATGTTTAAGACCTCGTAACATCGCAATCACGCAGCTTGGTATCATAGAAAGGGGCACCGATAGCATACGGATGAATTACATGGCAGAGTCTTTTTGTGGAAAGATACAGCCTGAAATGGGAGACTTGTGCCATCTGTCAGCCAACTGTGCCAGCTGTTGATCCGCTTTGAATTGGCCCACATCTGGAGTACACAGAGAAATATGTTCCGATTCTGGTTCATGTTTAGTCGACCCCATTTTGTTACTTTTCTCGTTTTGGAGGAAACCGCACTTTGGATCCCCTAAGTGCAACCAACAGGTGGTTTAAACAAGTGGTGTTTACTTGCCAAATGCGGAAATTCCATTAGGTTTTGTATCTAAGGGAACCAGCAATAACTCCAATAGCTGAATCAAGGGATCTGCAGGTAAAGGACCATTATCATGGTGAGCTCGTTTTATTTCCAGTTGAGCTGGCTCAAAAAAATGCAGATTCTTGTGTTTCTCAAAACATGAGGACCCCCTTCAGAAAGCTGGCTTCCTTTTGGTTTCCCTCTAAAAAAGCCATTTTGAGCAACCCCGGTAGGGGACACCCCAAAAAATATGGTTTGGTTTTGGCTTCCCAACCAACCAAAAGGGGGTTTCCCAAACCTTGCTGGTGCTCAGCAGCGAATGAGGGAATGACCATACCTGGAGTCTCCTTCTGACCCTTTAAAAATGGTTGGTCACCCAACAAATTACCCTCTTTCCAACAATCATGGAAGTGGACAAAGGGGTTGCCCAAAAGGAAAGTAGTCTTCCAAAACCCTCCTGTCAGCTTCCATGATTGTTGGAGGGAGGGTAAGGGGCTATGAAGTGATGACCCCTTTTTCTAGGGCTCAGCAGACCCTAGGTATGAACCATTCCTGGCTTGCCTCTGACCGGAATCAGGCACCCCGCGCCCAAGGCATCGGCATTTTGAGAGTTCAGGGGGCTGACTACGGACTCCACCGGGAACTCACGCGCCTAACTCCTTGAGGAGTTGTTTTTTTCTGGGAAACTCAAAGGGGTTCCTAGGTCCTCCAGTAGAGAGGTTAGAATAAGGGTACTAACTTTTTCTGTAGTCGATTTTTGTAGGGGAGCCCTCCCCCAAAAGAGGGTAAAAGGGCACTACCGTGGGAACCGACAGCTCCCATCTTAGGAAACCAAGTTGGAGCCACGAGCTGACTGAGGCCCGCTCTGCAGCACCGCATTGCCCGCAGCGACGACAGCGCTTGGCATTGCCCGCTCAAAAAACCGCCGGGCGATCGGAGGGTCTGTTCAAAGACCTTCCTTCCAAACACCCCTCACCACAAGATTCGTGGGTATTTGCCATGTAGAAAAAGAATGTGTTTCTCCACATGTCCCTAGAGGGGGGATATCTGGAGTCGGGGTTATTGTCTGTTCTGCTTGGTATGGCGCAATCCGCATGGGAACGGAGCCATCCAAATGCTCCCAAGATCAGCCTTTTATGAGGCCCGGTTGTGTCTTCTTGCATGTATGTATTCCAAGCTCCAGCCGCATGGGGAACAATTGGTTGAGTCAGGGAGACCCCTCCCAAGGTCCTAAGCCGCAGAGACTTTGCTGAGGTGGGCTGGGCGGACCCAAATTCCACTCGCGAGGTACCAAGGGGAGACACGGTCCTGTGGGAATGACAAAGCGCGTAATTTCTAAGCTGGAATGGAGATGATCATATAGAGTACGGAAATCGTGGGTTTTCCTTCTGATTCCCCTTTGAAAACCACCAAAACCGGGTACCCTGCAAAAGCGACATCCTTATAGTTCTATATATATATATATGGGATCCCCTAGCACAACCTCTGTCTTTCCATAACCCAGTGGCTTGCAAAGCGGTTGCTTTCCTCTTTGATAAGAGCTCCGGATGGCTGCAGGTCAGCGGCCGATGTTGTTGTCATGAATGACCATCTGCACTTGGAAAGCAGCGAAGACAACGGCGCCTTTGTGCTCGCACCCAACATGGGCTTCGAATTGATTTTGGTATCCATTTAAAGCCAACCAAAAAAGGGTACCCCCAAACAAAAACATACACACCCAAGTCAGCTTCGCGAATCGACACGAGTTTCAGTTAGGTTCCAGTTATTTACCACCTATAAAGGCAGCTTGTCAATTCGCAAATCGCTTGGCATCAGGTCGCAAAATGCAGAAAGGACACCTGTGGTGTGGCTCAAAATTAAACAGGAGGGGCAAACCCCAGGTTTTGGTCCATGTTTCCACTTACCAGGCAACCCAGTTTGGTACCGTTTTTTTGAGCCACAGCCACCTATGGTGTGCCAGTTTGCATGGCCTGGCCGCTTTGATCGAACTCGCGATAGCGGAAGCGAGGAAGCGCAGCGTGCCCGAAGGGCCTTGGTGGGAGCGCCTTTGGACAAGTCTCGCTTTCAAAAAACCGGTACCCGAAATGGGTTGCCCTGGTAAGTGGAAACATGGACCAAATCCTGCGGTTTTGCCACTCCTGTTTAATTTTGAGCCACACCCAAGTCTCGCTCTCTCTCTGTCTCTCTCTCCCTCATCTTAGCCCTTGGATCCCCTTAAGGCTTTGGATTGGCGGCTTGCGGTACAGTACCATCCCTGTTTGGTAGTTCAGAAGGTACTGGGGTTCAATGCCCACCACTCCAAGCCAGCAAAGGGGTACCTTGCAAGAAGAACCCGTCCAATGAGAGGTTCACGACCATCCCTGGCGGTCCCTTGACCCAGGCACAAACAGAGCTCTCCAAAGGATGCATCCAAAGCAACCATTTTTTAAATAAGGATTCGGATCTTGAAAAGGAGCTGGTGTTTGGGTGCGTGTTGCAACTGGCCTATTTCTAACGAACTCAGTGTCCCGAAACCCCTATTTGAAGAAAAAAGAGACGAAAACAAGACCATTGTAGCCCGACATCCTCCAAAGCTACCGACTCTCAATGGTGGTTTCAAGGGACACCCGACGGAATGCCTGGCACTCACGCACTGAGGCGAGCACGTGTTCGCCGCGCGCGGACCTTCCGGCACCTCCACAGAGAACGGGCCAACGCCCCCGCGGGTTGCTCCGAATTTCCCTTTGAGCTCGAAACTCCAGGGGGCCCAAGGCTTTGTTGCTTTCTTTCCCAGGTTCATTGGAGGGCACTTTAGGGCTCCAAACATTTCCGATCTCTACTTGTGTTCTCTCTTCTTTCAGCTTTTTTTTCCTTTTTCGGGGATCCCTTTTTTTGTGGACATGCAAGTTGTTCCGGTCCTGGGGACCTGAAAGCTAAACTGAAAGTGCGAACACCATAGAGCCGGAACTCTACGTTCTATCCACCTGAACACGCCTAAAATCGTGCGCTTGGTGGAAAAGGCCATAGATGGCTTGGAAAAACGGCGGGGGGGGGGGGGGGGGTTGCATGAAAACGATATTGGGGTGGGGTTCTTGTTTAAAGGAACGGGAAAAACTTCGCTTCCCCCCCAATATGGCATGAGATTGAATATTTGGGCGGGGGAAACCATCCATTCTGGAAAAACATTGAGTTCCCCCGAGTTCCCCCTGCATACACTGCTCCCCTACCCAAGGAACATGTATGGAATGCTCCTGAGTTTTCAGCCCTTTGTTGCGTAAAGTGTGTTTTGTGTTTCTTTTATTTTTCCGGGGGGGGGGGGTGGGGTGGGGGGGGGTAGGGACATCAGAAATCTTTCGATGGAGGGTGCCTTATAACTGATGTGAGATCTGGAAAATATTGGGACAATTGCTTCCCCCCCCCCCGCCGCCGGCTTGAGCACTCCAGAATCTCTATGTCCCTTGAAACAAGGTATGACAAATCCTTTGGGGGCACCAAGGATCCCAGTTCCACATCAGCATGGGCTCAGAAGAGCCATGTTGTACATGTTCAGCCTGTGGGCATCAAAACCGAGTGGGGGTTCATGTCCATTTTGGAGGGCGCGACTTTTCAGACTCATAGCCATGTCAAGCTCGAAAAGTCGCCGCGCTCGCTCAAAGTTGGCCTGCAAAAACATTGGATGCGACGTTGCGTCGCATGGGCCTCATTACTGTACTGATTGAGGGGCTGAGTCAGGTTGATGAAACAGTGCTCACTTGAGCCCCCAATGTCGAACCAACAAATTTTCAGGGTCAATACTAAATGCAAATGACACTGTCCAAGGCCCCTTCCAATCCATTGCCCACCTTGCGGTACCCGACCACAGGTGTGAGATGCAGATGTGGAACCGGGGCCGCCTCCTTGGATCGCTGTGCCATACCGTTGATTGAAAATGAAGGATCCCTCAGCCTGTGGGACGCCACAACAAAGGGAACTACCATCCGGCATAACAATATGTATGTATTTATGCATGTATGTATGCATGTATGCATGTATGTATGCATGTGTGTATGTCCTGATTCTGACCGAGCCAGTTTGAGCATCGCATATCCAACCCAGGAAGACTATTTTCATATGTCCGAATGCTCAGAAGGAAGGATTCTTGGATTCGAAGTCCGGCTTTGCCTTTGGAACCGCGGCTGTGAGAATTGCAAGTTCACTGAGCTGAAAGCTTCATGATAAAGCCTTCAAAGTCATATCACAGTGGCCACAGTGAGGCCCAAATGCCCAGTGACCCTTCTCGTTTTGGGGTTGAACAGTTATCATTAATTGGGGAAACCAGAACAAATCTAACCTACTGTGGATGGACAAAATCCTGCACCACCCAAGAAACCCTAGAATGATGATTCTCCTGCAAATACCAAAAAATGGTTTCCCATGGTTTCAAAGTGGTGCGAAATGGATTTCGTCCTGTGTCTGTTTTGTGGAGTTGGTGCTTTTGTTTTGTGGTTTAAATGGAAACCACAAGGAAATCCTGCATCAATGGTAGCAGTTGATCTCCCAATCTTGTTAACTGTTGTCCATATCATGGTCTTTGGCGGATTTCTGAAAGAAAAGGTTCCCCGGAAAAGAATGAGGAAGCTATCAGATCTTGGGCCCCTACTCAATTGGGCAGTGTACTTAGGAAGTGTTTGGTAAGCCTGGTTACAACTCACTTAAGGAGACTTATATCCATGGCAAGTGTGTTTTTATTGTTATTTTTTAGCATGGTTATAGTTATTACCCACTTACTGTACTGAGTACCCTGCCCCTTTCAGTAGGGATACGGCAATGAGGATTCAAGAGCAGTGCTACGAACGGCATGTTGTGAATGTGGCGCAAAGGAGGGCATGGAGACCTTGTAGACAGCCATGCAGCGGAAGTACTGTGGATCCCAAATGAGGTTCCCTTGAAAGGGCCAACGACATTGGTTTGTGAAACTGTCTTGCCCCATCCTGGATACTGATGGGTTTGCTTGAGGGAAAGCCACGTCTGTCAGCTTCCCTCAAAATGGTCCGTCAAAAGCGAACAAAACGTCTGCCTAGAGTCTCCCTGATCCCTACAACCTGGGGTAACCCCTTAATTTTGGGTAACCGAATTTTTGAAGAGTCGACCCGGAAGAAAACAGAAGTCTCACATCAAGCCCAGCAAAGCCGACCTCAAACTTTCAGGGAACCCCTTCAAAAAAGGCACCCGGCCTGGTTTGTCATTGTTTTGCTCTAGCTTTTTGAGCCCCCATCTGTTTTGCGGCGCATGCAACCAAAAGGCATTATCGGCAAAGATGTACACGGTCACACCAAAAACAAGCTGAGGTCACTGGTTTGGGTGTGTGAACCAGGGTCCCGGATTTATACACCTGGTGTGACCCCGGATTTTTACAGGGGGTGTAAAAAAGAACAAAGGACGACCCCGGTCAAACTGCCATGCCCCGAAAGTGCCACGAGCAGCTTGAGCTGTCTTGACAAGCGTCTGACTGATCGAGCCAAGAGTTCATCACGTGAGCCTCGGTGGCTTGTACCGATTTGAGCACCAAGAGGACAAGGAACAATTGGGTGGTCCGAATCCCATGTTTTTCTGGCTGCAATTGAATATACAACTTCACTTTTTCTCAGAGAATCTAGGTTTTACTTCCACGTCCACTCCTCGTCGACTATGCCAGACCGGTTTGGCCAAGTTGGGAGAATTCCTGGGAACAGGACACCTACTGTGGATGGACCAAATCCTGCACCTCCTAGGATGTACATATCCTGAACATTGAGATAAACTCCACCGATCCCGAGCGGTGCATCAGCGGATTTTGCAACCATCCACGCCCAAAAAGCAACCAAACAGGACCTAGTTTCCACTCTTCATCTTCCTTCCGATTGGTCTCTTAGATTTGTGGTTTGGCTAGGGGTGGTTTTCAATACATCCTCTGCAAGGATAGGTTCATCCCCAAACCACCGTGCATCAACTAAGGGCTAGTTGTAGGTAGTCAGCTATAGGTGTGGTTTAAGCTTGCCTACAAAACCGGATGCAACCCTGAACATTGCCCCCCCCAAAATGACCCACCCGGGGTACGCAGCAAAAAACAATGTTCAACGACTCTCCATATTCAGTCTACCCTAAAAATCGAACATCATTGTAGGACTTGAGACAGACAAAGGCAGCGGTTTCCCTCTGGACCTTGGTTCATTTCGCGCCTAGAGACTTCCATTTGCCAATTGGGCCCCCTGGAATAGATGAGGACTTAGAACTTCCAGTAGTGAACTCGATTCCCTTGAAAACCAGCAAGGGAAACAAAAACAACAACGCCTTCATTTCAGCAAATGCAAGCTACAGTCGGATGGTCTAGAAAAAATGAGGTATTTACCATGGACGCCTTCACAATTCTCTAAGCATTTGAGTGTGTCGTTCTTTAGCAGGGATCCTTACATTCTACAACTGAACATTGCCTTGTAAATGGTGGTTTCCTTTTTTGGGTGGAAAAAGCCATGTTTTAAATGGGCAACATGTATCTTTTAAGGAGCCCTGTTTAGGGGACCCACAAAAATGGGTGGGTTTCCTGTTCGTTTCCCTTTCAAATCAACCCAAAGCGGGTGGTTACCTGGAGGCTCCATGACCTGAAAACAAACGGGGGTCAGTACCTCCAAAATTCAGGGATACGACCCGACCCCTAGGTCCTCCAGCAGGGAGGTTAGAATAAGGGTGCCAACTTGTTTTTGGTTTTGTCTATTTTTGTAGGGGAACCCTCCCAAAAAAGTTGGTAGAGAAGGGCACCTAGCTGGGCCTAGCCTTTTTCTAGGGGTCAGAAAGGAGACCCCAGGTAACTAGAAAGCCTCCGGAAGCCCATCGAAAACGGATCCGGTTGAAAACGATGGTTGAAAAGAATGGAAACAAAACCCAAATCGTACCCCCAGTGAACATCCCAAGCCCCACTAAAATAGACTAAAGTGGGTGGTGCACCTACCCCAAAATGGTACCAACACAGTGTTGACCCACAGCCAGAGAAAGAGAGGCCGCCACAGGATTCGCCTGCTTCTCTCTCCGGCTCTTCACCTGAGCGACCCGAGTCTGGATCGCCAGTCGGTTCGGGGGGTCGAGGGAAAAAGCCAAAGGGGTCGGTCCTTGTTTTGGGGTTGGTACCGCTTTTTGGTAGGTTTGAAAGCCAAGAAGAAAACTTGCATTTTGGGGGAGTCCCTGTCTTTTGTGCCCATGTTTTGGCAGGTTTGACAGGAACAAGAAAAGGACAACTACCAAGGACCCACGCGAAATAGAAACCACCAGTTTGGCGAGCCCCTAGTTTGAGCCGATTTTTGTGGCTAAGGAATGACTACTCCAAGCATCAAACGAGTCCATTTTTCTGGCCTGCGTTCTGTGACCCAGAACCCGTCCCGAGCCTCCCTACCCTTCCATTTGAGGCGGGAAGTTTAGGGGTCCTCATGTGGCATGGGTCCAAGGGGCTAGGGCATGGCAAACAGTCAAAAGCCCGGCCGCGTCCTTATGACTCAATGTTGAGCCGTAGAAAATGGGGTCATAACCCCATAATTTGGGTTAATGACCAAATATTTAACGGTCATGAAGACTCCAAATAGAAAAAACAGTGAACCTTTTGGAACCTTGACGAAATATGGAACACATCAGGGAAACCAAAAACCGATTCGCTTCCCCGAAAAGAAACCCTGCGCTCCAAACGAACAGCCGGAAGCTCCCCCCAATTGGCGTCTGTACATGGGTCACCAACCTAGGTGTCCTTTTAGGGGAAATAGATGACCCTGGTAGATGCTGAAACTACGAGGTAAACCAGGCATCGCCATCTATTTTTCTAGCAAAACAACCAAAAAGGACACCTATGGTCACCAGGTCCTTTCAGGAGCTTCCATGGGATCGCCTGGGGTAAATAGAAACCTTGAAGCATCTGCGGGCGCGCCCGCCATGGCCAACGGAACCATCCGGCGCCCCCAGTTGGTTCTCAGGGGCAAACAGGGCTGGGTCTGTCTTGGGTACCCTTTTTGGATGGTTTCCCTCAACGCCAAACAGAAACAATATCTATTTTTTGGGGGGTCCCTATTTTGAGACGAACCCATGTACCCTGTACATACTCCTCCATTTGCTTATATCAGTCTCCTGCGAAAAATGGGAACGTATGTCCAGTAGCGATACCCTTCAAAATCGACAGGGCAAACAAAAACAAAATCTGATAGATTCCCTGCAAAACCAACAGGGCAAAAAGAAAACATATCTTAAGCAAATGGAAGAATTGGCTGTATTGTGGATGTATAATGATGTATATCCCACCTCCCCTTCTGCAGTAGTTGATAACCCTCGATGCGGACTGCCTCATCCAAGTCGATGCAGTTGTATCTCCTCGGGTCAAGTCTCGGAATGCCCCGTGAATCCTTGTTTTTTGGAATGGATCATCCCTTTACCCAAATCATTCATATGCCTTCCCAAAAGGGTCGGATTTGCTCCCATCCCTTTTCCGAACAAATCGTGGGGAGATGTATTGATAGGGGGAATACCCTCAAACTCTTTGCAACATGTGGATGTCGCGCGGCCCGCAAAGTCCCCGTCAATGTGTTGGTCCCATTTTGTTCACCCATCCTTCTCAATGGAGAAACCACCAATGTTTCTAGGGGTACCCCGTTCTTTCCAGGGATCCTTCTTTTCAGGAAACCATCAAAAACCCAGGGGAATCGCCGGCTTTTGAAAAGAACAATGTTTGAAAAGACGGAGGAATCAACCCTTAGAACATAGCTAGAAGAGAAGGATGCCTGAAGAGAATGTAACTGGAACTTGATTGCTGTTGACCCCTCTGCCCAAAATGTGTTAACTTGTGGCGGGTCAAGTAGAAATTCCGAACTGTTTCAGCCAAAAAGGTGTTCCGTCCAAAGATTTGTTGCCAAAAATCGCCATAAAGGGAAGGTACGCCTAACTAAAAAAAAAAAAAAACGGCACCGGCGCCGATGCGCCGGCGCCAGTTCCATGCCAGTTCCCGTCGCAGGCCGAGCTGCGTTTTCCTTACCCGTCGCAGGGCGCCGAGCGTGCACTCAGTATCATCCTCCTGCGCGAGACATTGCTCGCGAGAACTGACTGCCTGAAGCTCCCGGCCAAGCTCCCGTATTCCCAGCAATCCCGCCAGAGCCGCCTGCCGCCGCTTCGGAACATCAAGGCCGCCAAGACTCCCCTTCGCCACATTGCTCCGGGTATGGGTCCCAAAAAATAAAAAGACCAGAAAGCCGCAGGGGTTGGTCCGTGTTTCCATTTACCAGGGCACCCCATTTTGGGGTTTCCCGATTTGGGACCCGCGGCCGCCTTTCATTTGGACGAAAGCATCAACCGGGCCTTGAAACAGCCCATTTTGAGGTCCATTTCTGATGCTGAGTGAGCAGTTCATAGCGGCTTGAATCCCGAAAGGCCCAAACCTGCGAGACTTCTGGCTAAGGAGACATGAAGGAAACCAAAAGACGCAAATTCACAAACATGACAGCCTTCGGTGATCAAGTGGCCAGTTTGGGCTCTCATTTGCAAGGAAAACCCCTAGCCCAGCTCATAGGCAGGAAGAGTTCTCGTGCCTCAGGCCGAACAAAACCGTTGGGTTGCGGTTCAGAAGGGTCTTTCACATCAATTTCTCACTGAGCTTCCCTGGGTAATACTGTGGATGGACGAAATCCATTTCGCACCACCTAAGAAACCCTGGGATGATGATTCCTCTGCCAATACCAACAAACACTGGTTTCAACCATGGCTTCAAAGTGGTGCGAAATGGATTTCGTCCATCTGCAGTAGGGGGGGGGATCTAGGGAACCCCTGTAATTCCAACTTACCAGGTGAGAACGTGGCCAAACCTTTCTTGGGGGTTCCAGGCTTCTCCTTGGATCTCGTTTTCGGGTACCTTGGAGCAGAGTAAGTTCCGAAAATCGTGGGGCGGTGTTTGGGCTAGGAAGCCTTTTCTGGTCCCAAGCTCAAGAAAAGAGGTCCAACATTGGGGTCCCATGGGGTGTGTCTTGTCTTGTAAAACCCAAAAAAGTGTTTTCTTTGTGGTTTTCCTTCAAAAACCACAAAACTGGAGGTAGCAACTCAAAAACAGACTTACATAACCGTGGGATTCCGAGGTGTCAGAACTGGCAGCCACTGTGAGGCCAACACGCCTCAACAACTCCCCTGAATTGAATGCTCATCTTAAAGTCCGGCAAGTTGCATAAGCCCTTATCAATTGTGGATGGACACAACCCGGTAGCAGTTGGAATAGATGGTGCAGATTTTGTGTCCATTCACAGTACTCCAAACACATGGTAAGGATTTACACCTCACCCGTGGCCGTCTCTTCGCATTGGCGATCCGCTTTAAGCTCTATATAGCTTGTTTCTCGGTTTTGGCTTTGCTTGCATTCCTTCCATCCTCTGCCCCGGGAGCAAAATATGTCCGGAGGACACATCCCTTCAGAAACTTACCCTGCCACAAACTAACATGGAAGTGCAAAAAGGCCCTTTCCAAGAGGAAAGTAGTCTTTCTACAGGGGTCTGTGCACTTCCATGCTAGCTGGTGGCAGGGTAAACGTGTTTTTTGAGCAATGTGCACAGTGGAAGAAACAAACAGAAGCAAAACGTCGTATCCTCTTTCAACAAAATATACATGATGGATGTCCCATTTTGTTTCACAACATTCAAGATCGCTCTATGGGAACGTGAGAATAGGAGGGCATATATTAATTTGAGAAAACAAATTAGCGGGGATACCGGGGAAGCGGGGATGTGCGAGGATTCCCTATAAAGGAAACCGTATCTAAACGTTACTCGAGAAATATGTCCACATCCCTGCTTTTCCAGTATCCCTTGTTTGGTTGTCTGATTAATGCTGTTGTTTGTGTTGCTTGAATTTTTGCACCAACCCAACACGGGCGCCCGAAAAAAAGCACATGCCTTTCTCTATTCGCTGCCCTTGCAGAACTCCTGGTAGCTCCCTCTTCAAACTAAAATGGCTACCTGCATCTCTTGAAAGTTAATAATTCCCACTCCAAAAAGAAAAAAGTACTTTCGTCCATGCTGGAGTGATAATTTTCACTCCGTGTTAAAATGCCCGTTCGGGTAGTTCCGACTGCTCAGGCATGCGTTCGGACCCGTTCGGAACCCGTTCGAAACCCGTTCGAAACCCGTTCGAACCCGTTCGAACCCGTTCGTACCCCGTTCGGACCCGTTCGGACCCATTCGGAGGTACGTAAAAAATACGCCAACATTACGCAATAAGCCTTTCATAATATATGTGCAGTGCTGATTTATGAACACTTCGATGGTAGTGAAAATATCCGTTCAAGAGTAGAAATACCCGTTCGAAAGTGAAAATACCCGTGTCCTCAAGCCAAAAAGTACTTTTTCAATTTTGGAGCAGGAATTCTTAACTTCCAGGAGATCCAGGAATGAAAAAAACAACAACATGGAACCATCTCAAAAGTGGTTGGTGAATATGACTTCCCACCTAAAGGATGTCCACAAAAGGGGTTGTTAATTAAGATCCATACCTGGGATCTCCTTCTGACCCTTTAAAAATACGTCATTACCCAAAATTAAGGGGTTATGATCCCATTTTAAAGGGTCATGGAGAACCAAACTTGCATAACCCCAGCTCCGAATGGCTCCCAATCTCGCCAGCGAGAGTTACTGTGGGTGGAGGAGATTCTGCACCACCTAAGAACCCTTGGAATGATTCGATTCCCCAGTCAATATCAACAAACCTTATGGTTTTAACCATGGCTGCAAAGTGGTGCGAAATGGATTCCGTCCACAGTATGGGCGGTCGAATACCTGTCCTTCGGGGGTCTGGGCGATGCTGTTGCACACCTGACCAGTTCTTCCTTCAGCCGAAACATCAAAACGGGGCCCTCACAAGCATAGGCGTCCTTTTAGGGGAAATAGATGGCCCTGGTAGATGATTAAACACCATGCCAGGGCCATCTATTTTTCTGCCAAAACAACCAAAAAGGACACCTATGCTCACAAGGAAGGCTCTGCCCCCCCCCAAAATGGACTTCGGTTGTACTGTCGGTCAAGGAAGGCCCTGTCCTTTTTGGGGCTACAACCCCAAAGAATGGATTTCGGTTAATGGATTTGCTTTTACTGTTGCCTTCCCTTTGAAGCCACAGAAGGGGTAGCCTCAAAAGACACTGAGGTACCTTCCAAAGCTCCTGACTCTTCCATGGGGCCAGCGACACTTCGAGCAGACTTGACACAAAGAAACGCCAAGAGCCCACTCTTCTATCCTCCCATCAAACATGGAACTGCACAAAGACTTGGGAAGACCACTTTTCCTTTTGAAAACTTGGTGGCGGTTGACCCGTCTCCAACAAGTTCATAACTGTTTGTGGGTCCAATGGAAAATCTGTGGGTCCAATGGAAAAGCCGAACTGTTAAAGTCCAAAGATCCAGGGGGAGTTTCTGGTGCACTTCCATGTTCGCCGCCTTCCTGAAACACAAGTTGGACACTCGCACCCTTCTGATTCACCTTGGCGGGGATTGGGACCCCAGCCAAATATATATATATATATATATATGGTTTTTGCCCGGTTAGTGGAAAACAAAGGGAACCCCAAAACCCCCCCCCCAAAAAAAAAGAGAAAAAGTAACTAATTCTGGGGAAGTCACGGTCCGGCCTTGTTTCCGTCCAACAGGGGATGTACTTAACTGCTCGTTCCTGGCGGCAAGCTGAGCAGCGCAGTTTCCCCCCGTGGAAAATGCGCACGCCCGACTTGAAAAGGAGACCATTCGACCAACAAGAAAGCCTGGGATTCATAGTTACCATTGAAACACGATTTCTGCAAAGGAGTCTTATCACCTATAAGTTCCCCAAAAACATCACCATTGCTGATGTTTAAAATACCGAAGCGACATATTGTGAACCCCATTTGCTTGTGTGCCCCTGGAAAAAATGAGAACATGTTTCCAGCGATAGATTCCCTTTAAAGACAGGGGAAATATACGGGTGTGGACTTTTTGAGGGGTGCCCCCTGGTTTAGCGGTTTTACAGTGGACAGTGGAAAACCCCACTCATTTTGAAGGGTTCTCTTCAAAAAGGACGATCCTCCCATATAGAATATTAGGCAAATGGAAGCTACCTTAGTTGGGTGCCACTGGGCGAGCCAACCGGATTTCTTGCACAAATTTGTCGCCCCAATGAAGACCCTACGGTCTCATGAACTGATTAGCTGCGAGGGGGTGTCAGGGGGTTCTGGGCGGGTTTGATTCCATAACCAAAGGTCAGAATCAAACATGGCTTGTCTCAACTAATGCCGCACGGTCTGCGTCCCCATCTGTTGGCTACTTCAACTTGCACTCGAGCATTTGTCAAACATTGAGGTTCCTGCGTTAGAAGCGACGAAGCCAGCCTCCATTGTTGATTTGTCGTGTCCATGTCCCGAACCCCAACACACACAAATGCTTCATGTGTTGGCCGCATTTTGTAACTCAGGTCACAAAGAGGCTGTTGCATCAGCTTCCCCCTTTCGTTCGGACCTGGGTTTTGTCCTTTTATGAGGGACCGACCCCCCAAAACCAAGGGATCTCCAAGTTCCTTTAAGACAGCCCAGGATAGCCTGAAAAAACAGAGACCGCTTTGCCAAAACCATAACCAATGCCCATTATCCCGATACAAAAAAATAACCAAAACCAATACCAAGAATTCCCCTTTCTGCACGACATGTAAAGGCGGCCTGACAAAAAAGAGACCCCTTTACCACAACCAAAACCAATGCCCAAGTACTAACATACCCAAGACCAACACCAAGAATTCCCTTCTTTCCGCACGAAAACAACATTCTAGGGATACCTTCCCTATTCTTTCCAGGGATCCTTCTTTCTAGAAAACCTCCAGAATCCCAGGGAAAACGGATCCGGTGTTAAAAATAACGATGGTTAAAAAGAATGGAAAAGGAATCAACCCCTAGAAACATGACAAGAACCAGACCCCCACCTTGGAATGAGCGCGGAACTTCCAAAGCTGCAGCTTCACCTTCCGCGGCAGCGCCGACTCCTGGCCGGTCAAACGACGAGTGAACCGAGCGGGGAAAATGCGGAGGTCGAGAAAAAAGCGGCAAACCGCCGGTTCCAAATTGTTCTTGTGTGAAGGGAAACCGAAAAAACGAAGCACATGCCGGTGTTGGCACCCCAAATTTCAGACACAGCTGGCTGAAAGCGTGGGCGATGGTTTCCCTCGGCTTCATGACCAGCCCTAACAACCCCAAGCAAAAAATCAAATTTGAGCAAGGCACATTCTCCTACTCCAAATACCCGGGTACCATGTCAACCCTTTACTAAAAAGGGATGTACTTATGGTCTTCAAAATGCCACAAACAAACAAACAAAAACATGTCGATCAATGTTTTCTGATCAAAATTTTTGGGACCCCCAATCTCCCGAACCTGACTGTGGCATTTGGATCGAACCTCATAGCGCGGTCGATTTTTGTGTCTCCCGGTGAATTCCAGCTACCCCTATAGTGGGTCACCCCATGTGCAGCATTCTTTCTTGTGATGCTTTTAAAGGGTGGTCTCCTTGGTTGACAGTTGCCTTCCAATGCATCCACTAGGACTCACATGTGGTGCTTAAACATGTACATGTCAAATAATGTATCTCATTTACCGCTTCTTTGCGAGTTCTCTATCATTTCCCATGGTTTTGCGGATTTCCACAGCATAAATGAAACCCGAATACTAAACTCAACAGGCGGGTTCTTTTTGACGTCTGAATCTGGGCTCAAAAGCTCCCCAAACTTCAATTGGCGGGGTTGGGTGGGGGGGGGGATTTTCGGTTGGTTTCCTTTTCTGAACCCAGAAAACCAACTCCCATAGACCATGGATCCGCATCTCAGGCTGGACACCGCGAGTTCGGGATATCTTAGATTTTTCCGTGGGGAGACCTTCCGCAAGTCAAACGCATTGCTCTCAAGCGAGAGCTCTCTGAAAGGGAATGCCAAAGGCAATCACAGCAAGTAGAACTGGAAAGCGTTGCCTTCCTGGAAATATATGCAGCCACAGGGAATTCGGAACACATAACTTACGTACCAACTCGCCACATTTCAGTGGAAACAAATGTCTCCACTGGTGAATGGTTCCCATGGACTTGTTTTTGGTTCAGAAACCGAAAAAGCCAGGGTGGCTTGAACATGCGGCGAAACGTTTCTTTGCTGCATACCCCTCCAGTCACATACATCATTGTTTCTTGGCACCCCTTACCCTGAGCCCCAAGACGTATCCACCTAGATGAGCCTGAAGCAAAGGACTTAGGGTTTGGGTTTGGCATTGAGGATGACTTGAAAGGCCCCCTTTCCTGTAGGGCACTCCAGGCACCCAAAAGCACCAGGAATCTCTCCTGCAGCCACTCGAAGTCCGCGCACGAAGCTGTCCTGATCGAGCTCGCTGACGTGAGCGACCAACGAGGGCGAGAAACCGAAAATCCGCAGACGGGGAAACCAAGAAGCCCCAACCGGGCTCAAATGGAGTCTCCACGACCCTTTAAACTTTCAAATGAGGGCACTTCGCTACCCAATATTAAGAGGTTACCAATGTCTCTAGGGGTGGAGACTCTAGGAAGGGACAAACAGGCTTAAGCTCACAAGCAAGCGTAGAAAGGTTTTTGGTCCTTTCTTCTGTTGAAGCTAAAAATAATGACCCCACTCCGACTGAACAAACCCAAAACGAGAGTAGATGGTCACTGGATCTTCTTTAAGGTTCATCAATTTACTGATTTCCATGAAACCATCGCCACTGGACTCGGTTGCTAACTCTGCTCCCCTGCTAAAACTTTAACTTGTAGTGGTTTAATGGAAAACCCATTAGTTGGCAACAAGTTAAAGTCCTAACATCCAAGCGAAATGCCCCAAAGAATTTCCTGGTTGCCATGGAAACGATCGCCACTGGAGGTTTCAGAAATGGATCACAGCGAGCCGAATCGACTCCGCAGTCCTCTGACTTTCTTCACTGCCTTCCTCCAGTGCAGGCAGCTCCTGAGCAGGGGACTCAGTGAGAAGAAGAACGCTACTGACCTGCTCGGTGCCCCCTACTCCAAATCCCCCTACTCCAAATCCTTTAGTTCATGGATGCTAAAAAACGACAACAACGGTTTTCCATAGTATGCTACCCAACAAAAACGTTGGCCACGGGAGGCTTGACCGACCAAAAAGACGCTTCAACTTGTGGGTTTGCCAACTCAGCACACGATATCTTGGGAAGAACAAGTAGGATACCGGAAGCTACATGGTTGTGCGTCAAAACCTAAGGTGCCTTTTTGGGGATGGTTCCCACTCCACTGTTGTCTTTTTGGAAGGCTTTCTGGGTGTTCACCGGGGCACCGGGGTTTTGACCCATAGCCGGATGATACCGTAGCTCATTTTGCTGTAGTGCCCCTCAAGGACCTGGACATCACATGCGATCACCTTTTGGGGCCATGACTGAAAACAGCCCAAAATTGGAAAACCCAAGGGTCAGATCCGGTCGCTTCGCTTTTCACGCGTGAGCCCTTCAATCCTACGAGTTCTCCAGGAAAAATGCGCCTGGGAAGAAAAAGGTGCAAGGATAGACCTGGCAACCTACGTGAGAGAACAGCTCCAAACCTGAAAAGAAAGAAATCCCTCCCACTAGACCCTCCCTCCCCCCCCCCCCCCCCGACATGGTGGGAAAGCACCCTCACACCAAAGTGGAGAATCCCCGCTGCTTCATGAGGAGGGACTCCCTTAGTATCATAGAAGGCCTCAAAACCCAAAATGAGTTGGTCACCCCCAAAATAGCAACGGTTTCCTTTGTCTTCCCTTCAAAACCACCCCCCGAAAGGTCCAAGTATCTTTTGTTGAAGGTTAGTTTTTGGTAACCTGGTTTTGTATGGCAAATCCTCACCGAACCCTTTGTTAGTCAAGGGCTGATACGTTACCCTGAAAACAAGCAGGTATTTGGAGTAGGGGGCAGCTCAAATACCCAAATCAGGCAGGCCCATGTTCTACAACAAATGGCTCAATCGACTGAGCCATAAGAAAGAAAAAAGCAACCCCCCAGCCAGTAATTTCCAAGCGGGGTTGCTTGAGGACATGTAGCTGGAAACACTGGGACACCTTCTCCAACCAGCTAAGAACGCGGCTTTATTCTAGGGGTTGATTTCCCACTGTTTTCAACCATCGTTATTTTCAAAACACCTGCTGTTCTCCCAGAGTTCTTGGTGGCTTTCTGGAAAGAAGGATCCCTGGAAAGAATGGGAAAGCAACCCTGAGACTTATGCCTTCAAATCAGCCAAGTGGCTTGAAATCAGATTGCTACACGTGCCACGTCAGTGCAAATGGCTTGAAGCCGAAATGTGCTTTCTCCGTCCTGGGTGTGCGTCTCCTGAGGCCTGGGTTTCGCTTTCGCGCCGATGAAAAAAACGCTGGGCGTGAAGACAGATTGGACCCTCCATCCTGTGGATGGAACTCGATTTCGCACCACGAAATGAAACCATGGTTGAAGCCATGGTGAGTATTTATGTTGGGAAATCATCATACCGGGGTTGTTTAGGTGGTGTGAAAAAGATTTCGTCCATCCATAGTCTGGATTCCTATTAGGTGTCGGACCTCAGATCAAATGGCCTTGTGAGGTTTGAAGACTCTTGGGAATCAAAACCCAGATCCATGCTTCCCGGCAAGCCACCATAGCAGCTAGGACAATAGCCCGCAAGTTAGCCCAAGGCTGCGCAAGCTTTAGATAAAACTGAGCTGCAGGCTGTGAAGGCTGCAAGGTAATCTGCGGCACAGGCTGCAGGGGCTGCAGTGCAGGCTGCGGTGTAGGCTGCGGCGTAGGCAGCGATGCCGGCTGCGCAGGCTCTTCATCCACCTGAATCCAGATCGCTGAAAGCTCTACACATCGATCTGACTACCCGAAAGGGTGACAGAGCAACATGGCAAGGTGTTCCTGTTGGTGTCCCGTTACCACCAAGAAACGGGTACCCAAAAAAGTCGAAAGGATTTTCGTATTACACCCTGGTATTACACCCCTGCGGAAAACTGCCCGAAATCCCAAAATAAACCGAATAGGCTAGAATAGGGTGATTCCGTGATTCCCCAGAAAACCAATCAGCACTCCGAGGGTGTAATACTGTGGAAGGAAGAAATCCGTTCGCACCACTTTGAAACCATGGTTGAATCCATTGTCTGTTGATATTTACAGGGGAATCGCATCCTTCCAGGGTTTCTTAGGTGCAGAATTTCGTCCATCCACCGTAGGGTTTCGGTGGGAGCTTCTCTGGTTTCCGAGGATTCCCTTGGAGCCGTGCCATGTGAGGGCCTATCATCCCCGAGCACCTCAAATGAGGTCCAAGGGGCTCCTAGGGGTTGATTCCTCTTCCATTATTGTCAGCTCATCGTTCTTTTCGAAGACCGTTTTTGGTGGTTTTCTAGAAAGATTCGGATCCCTGGAAAGCATGGAATTGGAAGCAACCCTTAGAACAGTAGGACAACCCTTGCACAGGCGACCGGTCAGTTCGAAACAAAGTGCTGAGACGCCGGTCCTGCCATTGAAAGGAGGCACTGCTCCTGCGGCCGCTCCTCACCTTCCTTAGGCCGTGCTCCGCTCTACATGCCCCCGGTTTTTGGTTGAGGGTACCCTCACTGTCCTAAGTGGACTGCAAAAAAAAGCCCAAACGGTTCGTTTGCAACGAAAATGGTCTTCCCAAAAAGCTTCCATGAACTCAGGAAGTGAGTACCAAACACTCCCGCTACTCCAAATACCCTCGAGTTTCAGTTGTGTGTTTTGCAGAACCGATGGTTTTCCATGGTAAATACCAGTTTCATTGCAAAGGGTTGACACAATCCCCCCCTCCCCCCGGGCAAAAAAACAAAAACAAATGGGAGTAGGGGGAAGGAGTCCTGAAGAAGCTGCATCCGAATTCAAGAATCAAGTATCAACTTCACCTCGGGTGTCTGACCAGGACTCGGTTGCTTTCTGCTCCCCTGCTAAAAGTTTGACTTTTAGTTGTTTAATGGAAAACCCATTAGTTGGCACAAAGTTAAAGTCCTAACATCCAAGCAACCTGCACCAAAAAGGATTCCACCCCCGAACCCCCCCTCCCCGAGTTTCAACCAAGGCTATGACGAGGCGTTTTGAAGCAACACGTGGGACAATTTCCGTCTCAAGGAAGTGAAATTGCAGACCAACCAGTCCGGTGCAAAGCAGGGAGGAAAGCTGAATTGGGGCGGGGGTCGGCCAATAAATATGAGGCAAAATGCCAAATTTTCTTGTGGATTCCCTTTGGGTAAGTTGAATATGGTTTACTATGCAGCATTCAACAAGTATGAGGCAAAATGCTCAATCCTCTTCTGGACTCTTTGGGGGTAAGTTGAACATGGTTTACTGTTCAGCATGCAAACACCGGGTAAACAAACTCCCTATCTGTGAGTCACTCTGAGAGCCCTGCAGTTTCCGCCTTGGCCTACCTCAGTTTTTTGCACATAAAGCTGGCGCCGGGTATGATGTGGGTGGCTCTGACTTTAGGGGAGCCCTAAAATGCTGGGGGGGTCCCTTTCGGTTTCCCTTCGACCCCACCCCAAACAAGGGAACGCGCAAAAAAGAAGAATACACATAGGCACACCCACGCCTTGACAAAGCAGCAAGAAGGATTGCAAAAACAATCTGGGCCCTAGACTGGGCTTTCGGGGGCGGCATCCCAACCTGGAAATTCGGAAAACCCGAACTTGGCAAATGGCTGGAGCTACTACTTCCACCTCGAGTTTCCTTCTGACCCCTGGAAAAAGGGGTCATAGACCCTTTTTGGGCAATGACCAACCATTTTTAAAGGATCAGGTGCAGACTCCAGGCACTGTTCTGCCATTCATTTGGGGGGTGCTTGAAACTCCCAGTCACCCCAGGCGCGAAAATTCAGAAGCCACAAATCCAGATCTATTTCTGGGTCACCTGAGCAAACGAAAGCAGGACGAACCTGGAGAGTCATCAGCAACAGTTTTGGGGGGCACCCCAAAATCTAACTGGTGTTTTGGCTTTTGGTGTCCCTTCAAAAGCAACCCAAAACAAAGGTATCAACTCGAGACAAGGCCATTCCCTCTGTGTCTCTGACAGTCAAGTCTGCCCTGGCTGGACACGTCTGAGGGCAAGACCCTCGGCTTCTTTCTGCAACTCATCATTGTCGCTCACCTGTCTCTCTCTCTCTCTCTCTCTCTCTCCCTCTCTCTCTCTTGCCGGCACTGGATGATACAACACGGAGGCAATGACATCAAAACAATCTGGCAGAAGGGCTAAAGGATTGCATTCCAACCAAAATAAATCCACAAAGGCACCATCCGGTCGATGAGTTCTGAAGTTGGGTAGCGATTAATCAAGGGGAGGAAATACACAAAAACAACAAAAACGATTCCCTCACCTGAAAAACAATCATGGTAGGAACTACACAAACAAACATTGGGGCCAACAAATCCGGAACGTTTTGCGGGTGGAGGCGAAACAGCTTTTCGGGCTGAGCCTATTGCATCCAACCTGCTCCACACCTCAGTCCCAGCAGCTCCTCTCTCAGTTCCAGCAAAGCCGCCAGACCCACCACCCCACCACCACCAACCTTGCCATGTACCAGCAGGCTACCAAGAAGAGCTGACCTGACTGAGGTCCCAAACGGCCAAATGATTTATTACTCGGAAAAACTAAAGCTGCCCCCGGCACATGTGCAAGGGGTGGTACAGGGAACACGCATGAAACAAAATGGTTTGTTTAAGAGTTGGAAATAGAAAAACACAGTTGCACAAGAACAGAACTGAGCCAGTAAACAGGAATACTAAACCAATACTAAACCCATACTAAACCCATACTAAACCAATTCTAAACAGTACCGAGAGCCAGCTTAAAGGAATAATACTCCAATACTAAAGCAGTTCTAAACAGTACTGAGCCAGTACACAAGAATCCTAAACCAATACTAAACCAACACTGAGCCAATACTATACTAAACAGTGCTTACTGGACGACGACTTTGGTAGGCCCCAGTGTGACCCGTGACCCCCATGTCGTGTTTAGGGCTTTCTCTGTTGACCCGCCCCAGTGCTTGAAATACCACTAAACAATGAGCCATTACCCACAATTAAGGGGTGACCCCTTTCGCTTAGGGGTGAGAAGGAGACTCTAGGTACCGATGTTCACTCACCGCTAAAATCAGCGAAAGGTCAGGAAGCTGGAGAAACACGGATGGAATCACTTGCGAAACACCCCCGCCCTCCCTCTGCAAACGAGCTCCTAAGTTCGTTTGTGCAGTGCAAATTGCCAACCTGCTCACACTTTGTTGGGCGTGAAGTCTACCAGCAAAAAATCAAAGTTGGCCAACTGAACAAGCCAAATCGCACCAAAGGAGGGGCGTCTGGCGATTGAGGGCAGATAATTAAGCCCATAGATCCATCGTCTTGCCAAGCCGCCCTTGACATTTTGTCAACCCTACTGTTGCATGGGCTGCTGTCCAGCCTTGCCCCCCGCAAAGTGCATTCGGGAACTCGGGCATGCCTGCTCCCAGTGGTCTCGCTCTCAATTGCCCATGGGAAATGACGAACCAAAGCCTGTCATCCTGATGACTGATGCCCCAATTGGAGGCATGGTTCCCGGGTATCATAGTGGTTGAAACACAATGCGGGGCTCGGCTCGTGTCCTTCTTGGCTCTCAACGAGGATAAGCAACAGGTAAACCAACCATTGGAAGAGAGGTTTGCTCAGTATGACTTTGGAACACTTTGTGGCAACTGCTCCCTTCTCAAAAAACTTTGCATAATGCCGGTAAGCGGGAAAATGCCCATTTTCACGCCACCGATCCAACGACTATTTTACGCAACCTGATTTGAATTCGCCTTCTTGTGCACAGTCAGCGGGAAGTCGGACACTTCTGGATCCTCCGCAAGCTCCAAGCCTTGATTGTCCTGCAACCACTAAGCAGCTGAAAGTCCCTGAAGGAACAAAAGGTCGTGTAAAGGCCTTTGGCATCCCCGTAACCTCCACAAATACCCAGCGTATCATGTCAAGCCTCTACTAAAAACGGAGGTGAACAAACAGTTGTTTTCCAAAGCTACCCTAGAAAACTATGGTATTTGGAGTAGGGAGTAGGAATGGAAAAGCCACAGCATAAACTTTCAGACTCTGGTTCATATTTGGCCTCTCCGAAAATACAACATAGCTTTGCAGGAGACTCCGCATCCGAATACTGGGGGGAGATGCACCCCGATAAAAGGTTCAGGGAAATCCGGAGTGATGGAATGTATGCGTATGTTTGGAACCGTGCCCAGACCCCTAGTGGTCATGGTAGCAAGCACCCTGCTTAGGGGGCAGGAACCCGTGGCGGATGGTTTCAATTAAAGCTTACAAAACGAAACTCAAACTGTTTTTCTTGACCCCCACCAACGGGCCAAAACCGACAACAAGTCTGGATAGACTCAACAAACAAATTCACCCCACAAAGAACCAAGGACAACTGAAAACACAATGACCACCATCTAACCACCATTGTTTCCACACCGGGGGCAAACGAAAAAACAACAAAAAACAAAATCACTTCGCTTCGACGCCCTCCACACTTACGAGCTTACGATCGTTACAACAAATTCCTCCGCATCCTAGAGAATTCGACTCCAAATTCCCATCGGCCCTTTTGGACATTTAAACAAAACCAGACTGGCGAGCTGCTCTGGCGGATCCACTGGCGAATGCTGGCGAGCCGCTCCGGCTCGATCGCGGCCGGATACTCGGCAGGATCCACCGGCAAAAATACTCAGCGGGATGCTCGGCGGGATCCACTGGCGGGCTGCTCTGGTGGGATACTCGGCGGGATGAGCCGCTCTGGCGGGATACTTGGCGGGATCCACTGGTTAGCCGCTCTGGCGGGACACTCGGCGGGATCCACTGGCGAGCAGCTCTGGCGGGATACTCGCGGGATCCACTGGCGAGCCGCTCTGGCGGGATACTCCGGGGGATCCACTGGCGGGATACTCGGCGGGATGCACTGGCGAGCAGCTCTGGCGGGATACTCGGCGGGATCCGCTGGCGAGCTGCTCTGGCGGGATACTCGGCGGGATCGGCGAGCTGCTCTGGCGGGATACTGGGTGGGGGCGTGGTGTCGAAGCATCGCAAACGCGGATTTCAACATCAAATCTAACAACCCCTTCCTGTCGGGTGGGGAAAAAACTTGATATAGTGGCTATATAGAATAGTGCTTGTAGATCCCATTAAATCCTGGAAGGCAACTTCAGTTTGTGAAGAGCGGACACCATCTCATCTGCACATTGTACAAGTACTGGCAGAAACTGAAGTATGCTGAGCTTGGTTTCCCCTCAGCTCACCATAAAATAATCTTATCTCCCCTAACGCTCCACTCGGCTTTCGTTTCGAGAGCTCAAAATTCGGGCTGTTTTACTGCCAGGCCTTCGAGGAATTGGTCCGGGTTCTTTGGGCGCGGGGATCGGTTGAAACCTAATGCTTAACTGGTATTTACGTGGGGGAATCAATCAGAAACCAGGGTTTCTGAACGGTGCGAAATGGGTATGAAACTTAATCCGGGACAACCAATGGTGGACATCATATAGGTCGGGATTTGTGTCCACCAACCACTTTTCGGAGGGTCCCATTTGTTTAAAACTCACAGCCAAACGGATTCGCAACCTTTTATTTTGTTTTAACCTTTTATCATCAATTTGTTAAACTAATGTTCTCCACAGTATACAGCTCATGTCGGCCCTTTGCCCTTCCTCAATCACGAAGTCCTCCGGATGGCCTTCCTTAGGCTCGCCAAACGCGTGGCGAGGAGGCTTGGCACGGCACGGGTGCTGCCGTGGTTTGCAGTGACACAATCGACCCGACAAATTCTGCCCAAGCAAAAGAGCAACATGGGGAAAAAGGGCTTGGACCAGGGCTTATCTTTGCATTGTCTGTTAGGAAGTTAAGTTGGAAGGCTTGAAACAACCCCAAACACAGAAACCCTCTTTCAAGGAGGCGCTTTTATCCCAAGAAGCTTATCAACATACGACCCTCTTTGAAATGTCTTGACCAAGAAAGGGAGAACATAAATTAGAGATCAAAGTTGAGACCAACAATGCGTGACAACAAATTGGGAGCCCACTCTCGGATGGCTCGAAGGGACACCAGGGCCAACCCATTGGATGTGTCTGCGCGTTTGCGCCCAAATAGCCTGAGAGTCAGGCAGTTGGTCTCCAGAAATTCCATCCCCCCGACTCTTTTGTTGTGCCACCGTTTGCGGGGCATTTGGGTATGGGTCAAAATTAAACTATCAGGGGACCACAGGTTGTAGTCATTGTTTCCATGTACCAGGGTGCCATGTGGGTACCTATTTTTGACCCACAACCATTTGGACCTTCGCCACCTCCTTCTGACCCCTAGGAAAAGGGGCCACCCCTTCAGTTTGGGTAATCATCCCCATTCTTAAAGGGTTCAGAAGAAGACTCCAGGTACTACACATACCCCTTTCTTTGCCTAGCTTTTCATGGTAAGGACCTGTCAGGGTTGACTCCATACCTGGGTTTTGGATTGCCATAGTGATAGTCCACAAACCATAAACTCCGCATGAAACCCCACATAAGGTCGTATTTTTGTTAGCGCGAATTGGTGAGTCCTTGTGATAAGTTGGGTGGATTCTGCAGGGGGTCACCTTCAAAATGTCCAGTTGGCGGGGGAACTCTCTCAACATTGCAGCTTTTCAAGGCTTCAACATTGCAGTTGAGTGGCAAATTCCCACACAACCCCTACTTGGAGGTCCAAGAAATGAAAATTCACAAATATGTCTGGGCCCTAGTGGCCAAAACAGAGAGAATCTCAGGGCCTGCCTGCTTTTGTTTTGTTTTTCCCCATTTTTTGTTTATACATTTTTTGTTTTTTCGTGTTTTCGATGTGCGGTTCGGGCGTCCATGTACTGGTTCAGCACTTCCTGCCAGTCCCAAGAGAACTCCACTGTGGCAACGCGGCTCTCCACATCCCAGGCCTGCATCAGACCCCCACTGCTTGCTGCTGACTCTGCAAAAAATGTTCTGACCACACAAATGTCTAAGGGTGGAAGTACATACCCCTTGTTCATACCCGTTGGCTTCCATTTCCAACCCACTTTATAAGCTGTTGGGGAGAGGGGTATGAACATCAGCAGGCCTTTTGGGTTCACTTGTGCAAGGGTATGTAAAAGCACCCCTGGAACGTGTCTTCCGATCGATGCACCACCTCGGCCATAACTATGGTAAGTCGGCCAACCCCGGCCCAGTTACCATGGCGACAATACAGGCTGAACATCCAAGGAACACAAGGAAACCGGTTTCAAAGTATGAATGATGCAATAGTTATCATTGCTTCGATTTCCGTAGTATATTTACACCTTTCATATACTGTATCATACCATCATGTCATTGCTTTGTTAACACGATAACCAAGTTGTTGGATGGACACTGAAAACGGAGGTGCAACATAGCCATGAGTTCAATCTGTCCGGGATGGCCCACTTCCATCTGGGGGGTTTCTCAAAATCGCATAGCTTCCTCTAGAAAACGTTTTGGATGTGGCTTTCACCCTGTAGAATGTATATATATATATTTAGATATATATGTTTTGTTTAAACAAATATATCGTTTTATAACAGGGGAAGAACACGTGAAATCCACACACAGCGCACCCAAACCCGTTTTCTAGAGTTTCCCAAGACGGAAAGTCGTGGGCTCATGAAGCCACTAAAGGCTTGCACAGAACCCTGAGCCCAGCATTGGGACACCAGATTCGCTTCTTTTGGCTTTTGGCTTCTTTTGGCTGATCTTTTAGCTGATCTTTTGGCAAAACTGGATGCTCCACATCCACGTGGGAATCCTTCTTTTTTTCTCTCTCGTTTTGGCTGCAAATTTGGCAAAAGAGTGCATGGACAAATGCTGGACAACTAGGACTTCTTGTGGGCTAACGCACATGCTTCGCGGGTGGATCAACTGGCCAAACCAGTATGAGCTTAGACTGATTCTTCGCCGTGACAACCAGCGTGTCCTCAACACAGAGCCCAAGTTGCCAAGATAGGTTCCTTTTCCCTTCAGGCAAATCGACTCTAATTTTTGCAAACCCGGACATTCAAAGTTGCAGATTTACCAATCTTCAGGAGAGCTATAAGTACAATCCCAAGGCAGACAGGTGAAGTATGGTGAAATATGAACATCTCACTGGACCCTTGCTTCGCGCCTCATCAGACACGCTCTCCGACACGCCGCTCCGCTTGCTGTGGCTGCGGCTGGGGAAAGGCTCGGATGGGTGCTCAGACTGCTTCGAGCTACGGCTCGCCTGCCGCACGATGCTCGGCCCGTAACTCGAGCTCCGAAGTGCCTGGCGCAAGCCAAAGTGTCTGTTGAATGAATCTCCAGCCTACAGGCTCCTTCCGACCCCTAGAAAAAAGGGTCCCCCCGTAATTTTGGGTAATTTAATGACCAAACATTTTTTAACGGTCAGAGGAAGACTCCATGTAATGTTGACACCCGATTAGTCATGGGATAGTCAATAATGCAAAGTTGCTTTCCTTATTGTGGTTCGCCCCCATTGTTGATGGGGACCAGAATAATTGAAAGTTTTTGCGCCCGGGAAGAAAATCCAAAAAATATCCATAAATCCAAAAATAACTACAAATTGTTGGTGGCCCACTTGCTTAAAAGCATTCCCCTTTTCTTGGTTGCTCAAACACAAAACCCAAAGCCAGCTGAAACCTCTGAAATTTGAAAACCATCCCCAGCCCTGAAACTGCAAATTCTTTATTAAACTATGTTTAAAAACAAGAGAGAAACATCAGGACAAGGGTGCCCCTCACAGACCCCACTGAAAAACAATGGCATTCTTTAGGGGGACCACATTAGTTGCAAGCCCCCAGCCCCCTCCAGAAAATAAACTGTCAGTTGCTTTACTCAAAATCATTCCCCTTTGAATTGGTGGCCCACTTACTTAAAAGCATTCCCCTTTCAATTGCTGGCCCACTTGCTTAAAAGCATTCCCCTTTCAATTGGTTGCTGAAACACAAAACCCAAAGCCAGCTCAAACCGCTGAAATTTGAGAACCATCCCCAGCCCTGAATCTGCAAATGTTAAAAAGGAAACAATCAGGACAAGGGTACCCCTCACAGACCCCACTGAACCACAACAATGGCATTCTTTAGGGGGAATTGCAAGCCCCCAGCCCCCTCCTGTCAGTTGCTTTACTTAAAAGCATTCCCCTTTCAATTGGTCACTTGCTTAAAAGCATTCCCCTATCAGTTGGTTTCTCTCTAGCTCAAGCCCTCCCTGGCTGAAAGGCACACCCCTTGAATGGCTACTAAAGTAATTAGTATTCCAAAAAGTATGCTCAGGACGAAGTGGTTGCAATACCAGAGTAGTATTCCTAAAAGTCTGCTCAGGAAGAAGTGGTTGCAATAATAAAGTAGAATTCCAAAAAAGGAAGTGGAAGTAGAACTGGCCCCAAAATCCTCCATTGTTTGGACGTCCCAAAAGTGAGCCTACAGAATTCTAGTGCCTCCATTGTTGAGGGGGGGGGGCTTTATTAATCATGCAACACCCCCCTCCAGCACCCCGCAACAGCTCCCTCCAGCACCCCGCAACAGCTCCCTCCACAACAGCTCCCTCCAGCACCCCGCAACAGCTCCCTCCAGCAGCTCCCTACAGTTGAATTCTTCAGAAGCAACGTTGCAACCTGCAACAGCTCGACGCTCGCAACTCAGAGTATAAAATAAAACGTCCTGATTGTTGGCCCTGATCGCTTTCCGTTGTTTTGGGAAACCCACAAGGGCCAGTCCTGTTTGAACCGCAGGGGGGCTGAAATCCCTCCGCTTTGGCGCCATAGCCTCGGCATCGGCCGCGCCCTCCACGCCCTCCACGCCGCTCCGCTGCTGGGAGCCTCTGCTCGCCTGTCGCGCCAGGCTGAGCCTGTCCGTGAAGCTCCGGTGGGCCTCGCGGCAACAGCTCCAGATGCATCGCATGTGTCCACGCGAAGAGAACGCATGCAAAAGATGGCCACCAACCAGGGGTTACCTCACCATTTGGTCTAGCCCAAGAACTAAACTATACTATTGGAGGAACCCCCGGGCTGAAGACTTTCCAGATCTTTCTTTTCTTTCTGAAGCACCGAGAAGTCTCTGCTGCAAGAGCGGTCACCCAACCCTCATGCATTCAGCCGAACTCGGGCCCTGTAGATCTCACCGAGCAATTCTTGGTTGCTTTCTGCTCCCCTGCTAAGAGTGACTACAGTAACTTTTAGTGGTTTTAATTTGGAAAACCCATTCGTTGGCAAAAAGTTCTCAAGTCCTAATATCCCTTGGCAAAATCAGGGATCCTGACATTATACACCTGAACATTGCCCTCTAAATGGTGGTTGCCCTTTATTTTGGTGGAAAAAGCCATGTTTCAACTGGGCAAAATTCTAGGGGTACCTTCCCCATTCTTTCCAGGGATCCTTTTTCCTAGAAAACCTCCGGAGTTCTTGGAAAGAACGATGGTTGAAAAGAAGGGAAAATGAATCAACCCCTAGAAAAATGTATCTTTTAAGGAGCCCCGAAAATGCACCAAAGAA